TAGAACTTAAAAATCGATTCGATGCCCTGAGACCCAGTTTGGATATTGACGAGGAACTTAACAGCGTGATTTAGATCTTAAGGGATGAGGACAACAGGTTTAGTGGCAAGCACCAAACGGACCGAAAGTTGAAGTTCTCAGATGAGACACTTCAGCTTATGAATAGAAGGCGTGAGTTAACAACAGCATCACCATCGGGACAGGTGACACTAACCAAGCTTGTGAGGAAAGCTGTGAGGCGGGAGGCGGGACCTGCGTCGCTCTAATGCAATTGCTATACAAGCGGCAATAGAGCGAAACAAGGGATCCAAAATCTTTTATCGGAAGCTTGGAAGAAGTCACGTCGCAAAACTCCAGACGCATGATGGCAAAGTCCTCACGTCAAAGCCTGAGGTTCTCTCTGAGATCGAACACTATTATGGCTAACTATATGCCTTACATAAGCCACAACCTGACCCTAAATGCGATGATCCCAGAGCCACGCTGACCCGCCACTATACCAACGAGCTGCCAGACATCTGCCTTGGGATGATCCATTGAGCTGGCCCTTGGTCAACTTAAAAATGGAAAAGCCCCTGGAGAAGATGGAGTTCCAACAGAGCTCTTAAAATCTGGGAGTTCACCCTTGCTAAAAGAGCTCTGTCGAATTTTTAACCGTATCTTACGAGATGGGAGAACTCCAAGGGCGTGGAGCAAAAGCATTACAGTCTTGTTTCATAAGAAAGGTGATAAGACTATGCTAAAAAATTATCGACCCATCTTGCTTCTGAGCCACGTTTATAAGTTGTTTTCGAGGGTCATCACAAATCGTCCCGCGCAAAGACTCGACAATTTTCAGCCTGCGGAACAGGCTGGGTTTCGAGGAGGATTTGGCACTATAGACCACATTCACACAGTGCGACAAATAATACAGAAGACAACAGAGTATAATCAGCCCCTATGTCTTGCATTTGTGGACTATAAGAAAGCCTTTGACTCAATTGAAACTTGGGCTGTTCTAGATTCTTTGCAGCGGTGCCAAATTGACTGGCGGTACATCGAAGTACTGAGATGCCCTTACAACACTAGTACTATGTCCGTCCAAGTACAGGACAGTCAAACAAAACCAATCCAGTTGCATCGCGGAGTGAGACAGGGGGATGTTATATCCCCTAAACTGTTTACAAATGCGCTGGAAGATGTTTTTAAGACGTTAGACTGGAAAGGACGTGGTATTAACATAAACGGCGAGTACATCTCACACCTACGCTTTGCTGATGATATCGTCGTCATGGCAGAATCGCTGCAGGAACTTCAGGATATGCTGAACAGACTAAATGAATCCTCCCAACGTGTTGGTCTGTGCATGAATCTGAACAAGACAAAAGTTATGTTCAACGATTACGTCATGCCAGTTCCAATTACCGTTGATGGTGAAATCCTCGAAGTTGTCCAGGAATATACCTACCTCGGGCAGATATTGCAACTAGGTAAGAATAACCTCGAGAAGGAAGCCGATCGGAGTATTCAGTTGGGCTGGGCAGCATTTAGAAAGCTCCGTCGGGTTTTCTCGTCGCCCATACCGCAAAGTCTGAAGACAAAAGTCTTCAACCAGTGCGTTCTGCCCGTACTCATTTATGGTGCCGAAATGTGGACACTGACGATACGTCTGCTCCAAAAGCTTAAAGTCGCTCAGCGAGCTATGGAAAGAGCTATGCTCGGAGTTTCTCTGGTAAACAAAATTCGAAATGAAGAAATCCGCTGGAGATCCAAGGTTACTGACATAGCTTTTCGTGTTTATAAGCTGAAGTGGCATTAGGCTGGTCATGTCTGTCGCAGAGGTGACAACCGGTAGAGTAGAGTAGTGTTATGGAGTGGAGACCTCATCTAGGTAAACGTAGTGTGGGACGCCCCCTGACCAGATGGAGCGACGATCTGCGCAAGGTGGCTGGTAGAAACTGGATGCGTGTAGCCAAAGATCGGGCTAAGTGGCGCGCCTTGGGAGAGGCCTATGTCCAGCAGTGGACTGCCGCAGTCTGATTACGATGATGATAAAAAAAAATTTCGCTGTGTTAAACTGTTGTTGAAATCTCCCAAGGACTTCACAATGTGAAGTCCTTATCTCAACTGTACTGTGTACTATTTGATCCTAAAACACCGAAGTATTTAAAGGAAAAATTTGAGTTTACGGGTGCAGATAAAGATCATTCCAGATTATCCGATAAACTTATTTTGCGAATGCCTGCTCACAATTCAAAATTTTTTAATTCTTCCTTTTGTGTCAAAGCAATTAAATTATGGAACTCGCTTCCTTTAAAAATTAAGAAAGCCCAAAGCATTGAGTCTTTCAAAAAACTGGTTAAAAATTATTATTTAAATATGTGTTCTACTTAATAAATTTCATTATCATATCTACTATACTTGATAAGGTTTGCATATATATAGTATGTATATAATATGTAGCTATAATGTGTTACAAAAATATTTATAAATATGTATATGTATAAATATGTATGTGTATATATATATATATATATATATGTATATATGTGTATGATTATGTATGTATATATATGTTATGTGTTATGCATGATTTTTTATCTACTATTTATGCACACTTCTATATTTTTGTATGTAAAAGATCTCCTTCACCAAGGTTTGCCTGGAAGAGATCGCTGTTTAGCGATAAGGCCACCTAATTGTACATAAATTTATCAATTTAAGTTTGTTGTTCTTTGTATTATTTTGTGTGCAATAAAGAGTATTGTATTTGTATTTGTAATGCAGTGGTGCTAATGTCACGCCACAAACAAAACGCATCGAAGCCTTAATCGCAATATCAAAGTTCCGAAGTACTGCTGTATAATATATAGAATAGCGCTGTACTACCAGAGAGAGAATTGACCGCTAGCTGGGTCCTTCACTTGCCCGGTGGGAGATCACTCCTTTTCCTTCCGTGGCCAAACTTGTGACCAACTAACTGCCTGACGTAATACGAAAAAGCAAACAACAACCCTCGTAAACTACAACTTTAAGTCATCGTCATCAAGAACCCCTACCAGAAATATACTACCGAGAATCGTCGTCTGCAGTCTTCAGTTCCTGCAAGCCAGTCCAACTTGACTTCATCTGGACTCACCGCAGATTTATGCTCCGGTCCATTATTCTCGCTAGCATCACTTGGAAGTGCAAAGTATGTTATGCATTACACATCGTCCTATTGTTCGCACCGGCCTCACTTGCTCTTGCGCACGCATTAACCCACCAGCATTAAGGATTAGTAAGCTGAAGTGGCAATGGACCGGCCATATAGCTCGAAGAACCGATAACCGATGGGGAAGAAAGGTTCTCGAGTGGCAGCCTCGTACCGGTAGGCGTAGTGTAGGGCGACCCCCCACTAGATGGAGTGACGACCTGGTAAGACATGCAGGAAGTCGATGGATGCAGGTGGCTCAGGACCGTGCTTTGTGGCATTACTTGGGGGAGGCCTATGTTCAGCAGTGGACTTGTGAAGGGCTGTAATGATGATGATGATGATGATTAAGGACGCACCGGAAATCGGACTGCACTATTGACCTCAGGTCTGAGCAAAACGCACCGAAGCATAAATCGCGCTATCAAAGTGACGAAGTATTGCGGTATATATAGAATAGCTCTATACCACAGACCTCTATATATACAAATAAGCTCTATACTAACACACGGAGCATTGGCCACTCACACTCACTAGCCGATCATCTTGCCCGACGGGAGATCTATCCTTTTCCTTCCACGGCCAAATGACATATCAGCTTAGTTTAAAAAAATTCTTGAACAAAATAAAAATCAGACAATTAAGGCAAACAAGATTCTTTGACTTTACAATTCAAAGAACCTTGTTTGCCTTAATTGTCAAAACGTAACAGCAACGTTGTTGCTACCCCCTATTGTTGCCCCCAAACATTAATAACTGCTTTAGTTAATGTTATGGGCTTGTGGTGGTGGTAATTTCACTCTGAGTTCTACCCCGGCTTCGCTATGTCTGTTTTAGAGCTTAAAGTATTGCATGCATTATAACACTTTTAGCTTATATCAAAACATGTATTGGATTTAAACATCTGATAATGAATCTATATATTTTCAATGTTTATGTACCCGTCAGTTGATATCTACGTGGTTTTGTAACTTTTTAAGGAAGTCAGTTCTCATTACTACATTTTAGTTCACGCGATTTTTGCTAGACCTAGTTAGCTTAGATTTATTGATATATCGTAATATCTACGATGGAAACGATTTATTAATTGCTTTGATGGCGAAGTAAATTTCAAATGTTTTAATTCGCTTAGGGGCCTTAAGATATTATCATCGTCAACTGTTCGCTGGGTTAAGCTATCGTCAAAATCTCCGAAGAACGGTGCAATATGCTGTTGTGTTAACTTTTTTGTTGTCATCTTTGATGCCTTACATTAGATTAACTATTTCAAATTCAAGTCTTTACGATATTAAAGAAATTACAACGGAATAGTGGTAGATATATTTATTCTACAAAATAAATAACAATATAAATATCTACTAGCTGCATAACATTTTTACTCAATAAGCTGTAAAAGCAGAATAAATTTATTCAAATATGATAAGTTATCTCGATTTCTTTTTTACTAGGTTCTTTCCGTCTTTTACACTACTTAATCACACAAGTGGTCACGGTGTCGCAAGATTTGTTGTTTACAAATGACAAGTCAGACTAGGCTGTACGGTCTTAGGCCTTTGCGTACCATTAGTGGCGATCGAATCGTTACAACCATAGCCGTATATGTTTAATTTTATGTATTAATATACGTATAATTATACGTCTATGATAACAACAAAGCAAAGACAAAGAATGAATGAGATATTGCGGTTGAGAGGTTATGTTTAGGTTTTAATAATTATTTAGAAGTAGAAAAAAATTACAATAAATGAAGTTATTTAATGTTCTTACATAGGTATTATTGTGGAAACCGTTTTCATCTGTAGATTATAAATAAATGTTACTACACAAAATGTACAGAAGTATTTTTTTTAAACGGTAAGTTGTGCTATTATCGAAATGTTACTTTCTTACAATAGTTTGAAATTTGAAAATAAATAATTTTTAAATTAATATACATGCCGCAATCTATATTTATATTATATACTTACACATAAAATATTGTGATGCATTTTTAGGTTATTACATTTAAGACAATTTAAAAACGAGTGCTTAGTCCAATTACTAGAAAGCAAAAGTCGTATAGTAAACGATACATATTACAAAGTTCGATGTATATCTACGTCAGCAGTTTATAATAAAAAAAGAAAAACTCCCGAAGAAAAAGTAAGTATATGTAACTCATTTTGCAGCTATATTGATTTAATACTGAGGCATTTAGAGGATTTTTCTAATTTTTTTATATGAATATAGTGTTATATTTGTAATTCGTTCTTTTTCTTAAATTTATTATGCCTCTCAAATAAAGACAAAAAGAGAGTCATATAACTAATCCATACAAAGCTTTATATTCAATTATATGAAGCAACATGATAATAATTGAATAATTTAATTTCTGTTTGAGTATATAACAACTTTATATTTCACATTATTATATATATTGGATAAATCTTTTTTTTTATGAAATAGAAGTAACAAACGAACTTACAGTCTACCTTATGGTAAAATTGTGGTACCTACTACATGACCAAAAGACCAAATTAGGCACATGACAGCTAAGACATCATTAGAACTAGGGAGGGAACACTGGAATGGTGATTGGTCACTAGGGTTTCTATAAAACGTAAATAATGTGAGTGAGAAAAGTGAATCAAAATGGACTACGAAAGTGACGACTCTTTGTATGATCCAGATTATTATCCAAGTGACGGTAATGCGACGGCTAGTTCGGAGAGTGACAGTGCTAACGAAAGTTGGAATCCACCTTTATCTTCTAGGCGAGCATCAACCTTCACTGAGAGTGACTTTACCTGAAGTTCAGAGGAGGATTTCTGCAAGAAGAATAGGTAATACAGATTTGGACGCTTACAATATGCCAAGTACATCATCTGCCACAATTAGTACGTCAAGTACATCTGCAACTACTCTTACTACTGGTAATAATGAGCCAAGTCTCTCTGGTACAACATCCAAGTGGCTAAAACAAAAACTCGACTCAATAGAGTGGCACATGCCTACTCAAGAAGGTCCAATGCCCATGGAATATACCGGGCCTATTTCAGGCTTCAAAGAAATATACTCAGGCATTCTTGCTAATGCTTCGCCAATAGACTATTTGGATTTGTTCATGACTAACGACATTATTCAGCATATTGTAGACCAAACGAATTTATACGCCACGCAGCAACTACTGTCAAATGATATTCCTTCAGGTTCTAGGCAACATGCCTGGGTTCCTGTTACCTTGGATGAAATGAAAAAATTTCTCGCACTCATTGGTTGGATGGGATTGGTGAAGCTGCCATCGATAAAAGACTACTGGCGCGTTCATAAGCTCTACAATATTCCATTTGCACGCACTGTAATGCCTAGGAACAGATTCGAGTTGATTCTCAAATTTATTCACTTCACAGATAATACGTTAGCTGACCCAAATGACCGGCTTTACAAGTTGAGAGATATACTTGACATGTTTATAAATAACTACAAGAAAACGTACACACCGGGAGAAAAAATATGTGTCGACGAATCGCTGATACCTTGGTGCGGTCGACTTTTGTTTAGGCAATATATACCCAATAAGAGTGCAAAATACGGTATCAAAGTATTCAAGCTATGTACCGAAAAAGGATATACTTGGAACTTGTCTGTTTACTGTGGCAAATCTAAAGACCCGCAAACTGAAGTCTCAGAAAGAACAGTTATGTCTTTGGCAGAAGAACTCTTAGATGAAGGAAGAACATTTTACAAAGACAATTATTATACCAGTGTTCCTCTCGCCTTACGTTTGCGTAATAGAAAAACCCGTCTAGTAGGAACCCTAAGGGCTAATAGAAAATATTTACCAAAGGAAGTGGTACAGGCCCAATTGAAGAGAGGAGCAATGGCTGCAAAGCAGAGCAATGAAGGCATAGTTGTTCTGAACTGGCGTGATAAATGCGACGTATGGATGCTTACCACGAAAAGGTCTGCTCTTGAAATGGTGCCAAATAATAGCAGAAATACGAATGCAATGCACACTAAACCCAAATGTATAGCTGACTACAATAAAGGTAAATCTTCTATAGATATTAGTGACCAAATGGCCACGTATGGTACAGCCTTACGACGCTGCACCAAATGGTACTGCAAATTAGCATTTGAAATACTTTGGGGAACAAGTGTAGTAAATGCCCATTTCCTGTACAACGAATATTCACTTCAAAAGAAACTCACAATCACGGAATTTTGTGAACAAGTGATCGATGCATTGCTGGAGAGAATTTCTAATCTCTATGTAAATGTCTCTAATCTAAATGTTGAAAGACCTTCACGATCGAGACCAGACGACAAGCATTATTTGGTCCAAAACATTGTAAATGATAGGAAAGTTCGAGGTCGTTGTTTGGAGTGCTATAAAATTTATGGGAGACAAGAATACAAATTGCAGGAAAAAATAAAAAAGCACCCCAAATATACACAAAATGTTCAGTGTGTAATTTTTTTTATGTCATCAGTGTTTCAACAAAACTCATTAGCAATTAATCTTATTTCGTGTCTTTCTTTGTAGTTGTTTTCTTAATATAATTATGTAGAAACTAACTCATGACTTTTTTTTCACCTTCAATTTTCCAGTACCAAAATTTTTGGCTTATGTCTCATAACCCAATCCTAAATATAGCAAACCAATCGTCCAGGCCAGAGGATATTATTTCTAGTACAAAATCTATGAAAAGATTGTTCATTATTGGTACACAATGCTTTGAATGCAATAGGTTGTATGTATCATTTTTGATACACTATGTTTTAACAAGCGTGTGCAAAAATGATATACTGGCGTTGAGGGTGTTAAGATGTAAATAATCATATTGAGTGGTTTTGAAAGAAATATTACTAGCTATTTAGTAGAGAATCAAAGTACCTGTAACTTGGGATTTTGAAAATTGAAAGTTAATGCCAAAAGTTCAATTTTAAATTATTCATTTCTATTATTACTTTAACTTATATACATGTGATGTGTCACTATGTATTTATAACACATAAAACTAATCTCATACTTTATATCCCTTTAAGTATTTTTATTAAATTTTTCGTAAAAATATTTGATTTTGATGAGACATTGAAATATCTGTTGACTGCTGAAATAATTATTTTTCTAATAAAATTATAGAAAATATGCATATCAAATTTAAATGTCACCTAAATATGTAAACAAACAAGGGATTGCATTTATGAGTCACTCTCGAACTTTAGCAAAAATCAACTGTTCGCCTAACTTCATCGAAGTTATTGAGATACCGCTTTTTCTTCCCACTTCCTTTCACACGGGGCTATCTGTTGAATATATACATCTATGCATCATGTCAAAAGATATTGATAAATTGAATATAAAAACTTAGACCATTAATGATAAAACTGGGAAGTATCCAGTACCTGCTAATTTTTAAATTCTCTTTTTTTTTGCTCAGGCTGTAGAAAATCTTGGAAGACGGGTGATACGGTACACTAAAGGTGGCACAGAAGTAGTCGGAATATGGCGAAACATGACAGTACAAGATGTTGCTAATGTGCTGAAGAAGGATGTGGGTAAGAACTGTTTTTAGCTCCTGAGATTGACCAGTGTTGTCATAATCAGTTATTCGACCAGGAATTTCAATTGTGTACCTTTAACAAGTGATTAAACCTAAACTTACTGTACCTAAGTACAGTATTCATAAAACTGACAACTAATTTTTGGGTAGATATGTTACCTTTGCTTTTTTTTCTGGAGAGGGGGCAAACGAGCACACGGTTCACCTGATGTTAGGTGACTACCGCCGCACATTAACTACTGCAACACCAGGGGAATTGCAGATGTGTTGCAGGCCTTTTAGAAAGGATTAAGCTCTTTTCTTGAAGGTCCCTAGGTTGTATTGGTCCGGAAAAACCGCTAGTGTTAAATTATTCCACAGTCACCACACCACAGGTTATACACATAAGAAAACTCCTAGTGAAACGTACAGTGGTGGACTGCCAAGAATCCAGATGGTGTGGACGGTATCGGGAGGTTTGCCTCGTAGTACTTTCTTGAATTATGGCAGCTGGGATTAATCCGAACAATTCCACAGAGCACTCCCCGTGATAGAAAGAAAATGCAAAGTGATGCAACATCTCTTCGCAGTGCCAGTGAAGCAAGCCGATCGGAAAGCACTCGGTCGTCGTCGATTCGAGCCGCTCTGCGCTGGATGCGCTCAAGTGGAAGGAGCTGGCACTGGGGAGCTCCAGCCCAGAGATGGGGACAGTATTCCATGTGTGGCCGAACCTGCGCCTTTTGAAGTTGCAGGCGGTGTGCCGGCATGAAATACTATCCCGCTCTGCTGGGCATGCGAAGCATTTTAGAGGTCAATTTGGCCTTCTCTTCCAAGTGACCATGAAACTGCAAGTCACTCGATATGTCGATGCTGAGAATTCCGATACTGGCTGAGGCAGCAAGGAGAGTGCCTTGAAACTGAGGAGATATGATAAAGGGGATCTTTTTAGCGGGTAACGCGCAAACTTGTGTCTTCTGAGGGTTAAACTGGACTAGATTTAGTTACAAGTATATCCTGGTACTCGAAGTCGTTTTCCATAGAAATATTGTCACGGACGGTGTACGGAACATCACCAGTGCTGTCATCCACATGGCAGTGAATGTTACCGGTTTGCAACATATCTTTGATATGCAGAAGAAACAGCGACGAAAACCATATGATCCTCAAGGTACCTCATGAGCTGGCAGTTTATAATGGATTCCATTATTTTGGAGAACAAGGAGGTGATGGCGATAGGCTATTGGGACTATGCCTAGGAAGTAGGAGTACCGGAAAAGACGCGTTAGAACCGGTGCCAACTCTGGAGCACACATCCTCGGCAAAATTGGGGGGGCGCATCAGGCCCACTCGACTTGTAGAAGTCCAGGAAGAAGAGTGCTTTGCGAACCGAGTGCTGTGCGAACCGCACATCTGGCATGGAGCACTTGGAGCACACGGGATGGTCGGCGGTGTGCTCCCCCCGTCATCGAGAGTCTAGTTGGACGCAAAGAAAGAGCCTAGCAGATCGGCTTTCTCCTTTGCAGCATGGGCCAGTGAGTCGTCCTTCCTGTGCAGAGATTGAAGAAATGGCTGACAGAAGTTCCCTTGGAGAACCTTGGCGAGAGACCAGACGGGTTCCAGATGGAAGGCGAAATAGTTTCTCGCCAATTCTGCCTATGTGCTCTGACTTTGCCTTGGCAATGACTCTTTTGAAGGACCTGGAGGCGGAATTATACTTCTTTTTTAGGGTGCTGATGTTAATTGAAGTTTTTTCATTATATTCCTTTCTTTTGTAAGTGGGTGCTGTGGTCCATAGACATCTAGTTCTATCCTCTACATTTATCGTCAATTAAGAATCAAAATGCAGATGCATTGTCACCACTGAGAACTAAGATGGAATGTCCTGTCTCCAGTGAAAAGGGTCCCTGGTTATTTACACTCACCATACAAAATACAGCAGCATTAGGCTGTTAGTTTACGCTGGTATTCTGTAGAGTGTGTTACTACCCCAGTTGAGCTGACCCATTCATGCTCCAATGGATTACTGTCCATGGTACTTAAGCCTTTTCGGAAACCGAATTGGATTTTATGTTAGACATTATTCCTTTTCAAAAACCATTCCAAGCAATTTTTTATTAGATGTTCTAAGATTCTTGCACAAGTACATGAAAGGTAAATAGGCCAGTAATTGTAAGGGTCGTTGCTAGATTTACGTGGTTTGAGAGTGGGCAAAATTATTTGAGATTTCTATTCAGCAGGAGGAGCATCAGTAATATAAATAAAATTTAAATTGGATATTGTGACAACTTTAGTGTTCTCACTGTTATTAATTTTAAATGAATAAGTAATCCCATCAATGCCTGGTGAGGAGTCATTAAGACCATTAAGAACTGTAAACAATTCTTGAGAAGAAAAGGGAGAATCAAATTTATCATGTGTTTGTAAAGAAGCAGAATTAAAGACTTGGCATTCAGGTACTGTTTGTGGTGCAAGTTTATAGAGAATTCGTCTATCCATGGTAAGGATCTTTAGGAATTACATTTTCACTGAAAACTGTACAGCAATCTTTTTTAACATTTCTTCAGACCAAAGATGAGAGAGTCCTAGGTGACAGTGACTCACAGATATTAAACCAACCAGTTTGTTTTTTGTCTGACATTTATTTAAAGGTTACGTAAGCAGTTTTTTTATAAGAGTTCTCTGCAGTCATTGCAGACTACAAGCTGCTGAACAATCTTGGTCCCACCAAGGATGGGAAGGATGATTATTTTTGAATGGCAATTTTAAGAGGATTGACTTATTAGCAGCAGAAAGCTAAACTGAAGAATATAATTGCTAATTAGCTTTAGATAGACTATAGTAAAAGTCTGGGGCAAACTGGAAAATGTACTAGGGGAAGTAGGACGAGTGATGAATATAGGGAAATGGTCACTGCTATGGCTAGAAAATAATATTTGTCACAAAAGGAGGGAAGAAAGATATGGGGAACAGAGAGGTCATTGGTGCTTCTAACATGTTGTAATGGGGTACTCGATAAGTAAGAGATTCGTCATTTATAATACAGAGATTAAAATTATCAACAAGATCTAAAAATAAGGGAGCCAGAGAATCATAAAGATGGGAGCCGCAAACTGTATGATGCAAATTAAAATCTAAATTAACCATAGGAGGTGACAGAGAAGAAATAAGTGTTGTGTTAAGGCATTTACATCAGGATTGGGAATTTAAACAGAGAGAATAGAGATATCAAGGGCCTTAATAGCAACAGCATTTACTGCTGAACTATGAGAAGGAGGAGAAAGTTGTGAAAATGTAACTGTTCATGAAATGAAAATAGAGGTACCAGCACGACCGTCAATCCTATCATCCTGAAGACATGCGTAGCCTGAAACCCTAAAATGAGACTTAGGCCTAAGCCACGTCTCCTGGATGGCAAGAATGAAGGGATGAAGTTTATTAATTAGGTAAATGTAAATGTAATAAACATTTTTTATTTCTAATGCTCCAACAATTCCATTGAATAATTGGTGGGATTGTGTTTGTTACGGGCTAAGGAGGAATGCTCAGTAAGTTTCTGACGTAAATTACATGGAAGTTCAGTATTACTAAAACGGGATAACATACTAATAGGCATGGAAATTAATAGCTCAAAAAGGTTATCATTTGGGGAAATGGAATTTTTCTCTGTTATGGCACATCCATTAGATAAAGAAGAGGCAGGGGTATCAATAATTGATTTGTCATATCCAATACTGGATTCGGAGAATGTCTGGGAATTAATATCTTTTTTTCTGTGGGAGAAGAAGACAGTACGGGACATTTGCTGGATATTAGGATTGAGAGCTCTTGTGGTGTCTGCAAAAGATCTTCTCACTGGAGGAGTTCTTGCTGAGGCTTCAAAGTAAGAAATATTTGCTTGAGACTTTACTAATCTTAGAGATTTTTGTCTGGAGTATTCAGGGTAAGATGGATCTTTTGCTGAATGGGATCCAGAGCAAAATAAGCAACTAGGTGAGAACAAGATACTCCTTCATGGTTTTGAGCGCATATAAAACATCAAGGGGAAGACCTACATTGAGAAGTTACATTTCCAAATCGACAACATTTATGGCATTGGAAGATAGGTAAAACATAGGGCATTGATTTATAGAAAAAGTAAATATGAGGTGGTAATTTTTGTCCTGAGAAAGTCAAGTCAGTCTGAGTGGGGATCCAAATTGGATTATTACTCGTTAACAGATTGTATATTCAGTCAGCGTGCTTTGATAACTTTACTAAAACCAGAGGGGATTTTAATGGTAGTGACCAATTCTTCTAATGTACACTTTACGGGAACCTGTCAAATTATTTCCATTTGAGTGACATTATATGAGGGCATAACAGTTTCATATTTGGCTGCCGAAAAGGCTGGATTATCGATAAAAGTTTTGGCATCGGCTGCACTTTTAAATTCAACAGATATTCACTTGATACCATGGCAAACAATATCTTTGATATTATTGTGAAAAAGTAAGTGGCCAAATTTAATAGATTTTGACACTGTTCCGGATGATTCGCTATTTTCGCATTCGCTATTTTACTCTGAACTATAAAAGGTGAAGCATACTCATCAGAGTTTTTAGACTTACTTTCGTTATTATCAGGGTGGATATATGTACATAGATTGGATTGACCGTAAACGTTGTGCTGGGTTTATTATCAACCTTTTTTGTGGGCTAATAGTATCACTACTGCTTTGCGGTTGTTTGCTATTAATTTGCTCAATGTTACTTTTATCCGCTGATAAGGGAGAACGAGGATTACCAGGAACACCATCCGGATCGGGAGGATTCCTCCCCCATTTTATTTAAGGAAATCACATATAAATCTAAACTACTAATCAACACCCTCTCAGTAATGAGCGGAGGCCTGTGCCCAGCAGTGGGACGTATATAGGCTGTAACTTTACTTTTACTAATCAACACTTACTTTTAAAGCCAACACCAACACAAATTGAAATTAATTAAAGCAAATCAACAGTTTTGAAATTTAAAAAAAGCGCCTAAAATAGCACGAAACTTGTTATCTCACTTGACTTCTAACCAGGGAATTAATGTAGTTTTCTTTATAAAAAAGAATAATTAATTTTAAATTCTTTTTAGTAAAGCTACCCTCATTTCTGATCCTTCCAGAGCACATATTCAAAACGCTAGAGTTTGCCGACAAGAATTCTAACACTGTATACACACGAGACACGGTGATACACAATCCACAGATTGTGAGGGAAATTGTGAAAATATCAGGATGCCGATTCAAGCTCGTGCCGAGGCCTGATGAGGTTGTTGAGGAAAAGGAGGTATGGCATGTGTCGAAACTGATGTTCCCTTGGGCTATTTCAATTATGGCCACAACTCTATAACTTAGTTCAACAAGTGTAAGTTATTGTCAGAATTATTTTATTCCAATCTAATCGAAGGCATGTTAGAATGAATGAACTTGGAAGATACAGCCTATATCGAAATTGGCCAAGAGAACATTGCCGTCGCTAATGACCCGGCCACACTAAGGAGAAATGCCGTTAATTATCGCGTTGATGGACGTTGAATGTAGGTGCGGCCACGAATTAACGCGATAATTTGACAACGGCATTAACAATGCCTTTTCCCGTTTGCCGATAACTCGAGTGGCGGTACATCAAAGGATTAACGCGCGAATTATCGCGTTGAAGCGGCCACACTACGTTTGTCTCATTGTGGACGGTGAGTGCCACGGGGTTGAACGTATGGCTGCGATGGAGTGGAGTAATGAAAAAGATACTTCAAAAGTACTTTAATTTACGGTATGAAACTAAGAAAAATAAGCAGGAGAAAAAAAAAACAATTTTTGCAGGTCAAAATTCATGGTGTACAGTGGTACTAAATCCTGGGTACGTGTATCTAATTCGCACTTGACCAGTATTTATGATTGGCTTATTAGTTATTATTTCATTAAAATATATTTACGTTTGTCTTATTATTTAGCTTAAACCATTGGACGTCATTCTAGTGCAACTTGGGTGCGGGAAAACAAAATAAAATATAAATAGATTTACAGTGTACGTTTCCTGTGCATTTGTAGCATCCACTATATTCTTTTTCTTTGTTTATTTTTTTATTTTATAGGATAGGGTGACAAACAAGCACACAGTCCACCTGATGGTATGTAGATTCTGTAGCCCATAGACACTCTATATCTATCCTCGATTACGAATCAAAATGCAGATGCGTTGTCACCCGTGAGGACTAGTATGGAATGCCCCGTTTCCAGTAAAAAGAGTCTCCGGTTCTCTACACTCACCATACTAAACACAGCAGCATTAAGCTACTATTTTACTCTGGTATTCTGTGAAAACGTGGTCCTTCCCCGGTCGAAACATTTAACGCCGTTCAACGGCAAAATTAACGTTCAAGGGCAAATTTAACGCCGTTCAACGGCGAATTTAATGCCGTTCAACGGCGTTGAAATTGAAACGACGTTGACCGTTCAAGTGTAGCCAGTAGCCACTCATTTTATTGCGTTAAATTTAAGGCAATAATTGTTGCGTTTATGGACATTGACGTTGCTCGTTAGTGTAGCCGCAGCATAAGAAAAACCTTGGTTGCCAACGGAGTTATACTGGATGACCTTTTTTACCATCTGGAAAAAATAGGATGTAAAGGATGAATGGAGTAGTAGCCTATGGCACTGATATTTTACAAAAAATAAAAACATTTGAAGAATTTTTTTTGAAGAATTTTAAAGGGGGTAGGCGGCCAGACGGTAAAAAAGGTCATCCGGTATTAACAGATTTATTTTTTATGATTTGTTACAGATTTAATTTATTTTTAAGGATAAATCCTGTTTATTTTTGGTGTTTTCATCTTTTATATTTCCAATTATATCTAGCCAATTTATTTTCAACACTAAACATTGCTCATGCTGTCTCTGTCACATCATGTGTTCAGAATAAGGATGCAGTTCCGGCACCTCCAGCCCCGCCCGAGGCGCTTCGCCCCCGGCCGCCGGTGGTTTGTGTGATGGGCCACGTGGATCACGGCAAGACCACTCTTCTGGATGCATTAAGAAACACTTCTGTAGTTGATCAGGAGTTCGGAGGCATCACTCAACATATCGGCGCCTTTGAAGGTACCACACAGCTTACGCTTACCAATCAGGTTTAACATTAAAAACTTCATGCCCTTTTTCTCTACCCTTAAGGGTGAAAATTTTTCTTTCTAATATGCCTCAAATCACATCATATTTATTAAAAAATAACCATTAAAACTGGTTTACATTTGACAAAGATATTGCGTAGCATACATACAAAAAATATAATGAATGGTTAACCTCCTCCTTATTGTGAAGTCTCAATTATTAATTTCAAACATTTATTTTACTTTCTTCTACTTAAAAACAATAACTTTTCTTATACTTACTTTTACTTTCAGTCTTCTTTTTTGTAAAGATTTGTTCATTAAAGTAACTATCTTTAGACAGAGGTATTTGATGGTTAATATTCTTATTATAATATCTTATTATATCATATATCGTGGTAGAGCCATGCTGCAGTTATATTATTAGTATAGTTGTAGTACGAATGGGTCGGCTCGGCAGGGGAAGGACCACACTCTTACAGAATACCAGTGTAAAATAGTAGCTTAATGCTGCTGTGTTTCGTATGGTGAGTGTAGAGAACCGGAGACCCTTTTTACTGGAAGTAAGGTATTCCATCTTAGTCCTCACGGGTGACTACGCATCTGCATTTTGATTCGTAATCGAGGATAGAAGTAGATGTCTATAGGCCACAGCAATCACTTACCATCAGGTGGACTAGTTGCTTGTTTGTCACCTTATCCTATAAAAAAATTCTTAACCCACGTTTCACTTGATTATTGTGAAGTCTGGTAATAAGAACTTTTTTAATGCTTAATTGTCATTGAAAAAGCTCGATGGTTATACAAAAAAATAATGATCGAGGAATAACCAAATTGAGCAGGGCCGTGTGTTTAAATCAATATACTCGTAGGCGAAGATCGTTTGGATATTCCCGTGAAAATAGAATATCCAGTACGACAGAGACGACACAGGGAAACTGAAACAGGAGATGGGCTTCAGCATCTTCAGGATAACAACTCAAAATAATAAAGAACTGCACCTGCTTAGCGTGACAGCTGTGACAAAATAATAAAGAACTGCACCTGCTTAGCGTGACAGCTGTGACAAAATAATAAAGAACTGCACCTGCTTAGCGTGACAGCTGTGACAAAATAATAAAGAACTGCACCTGATTAGCGTGACAGCTGTGACAAAATAATAAAGAACTGCACCTGCTTAGCGTGACAGCTGTGACAAAATAATAAAGAACTGCACCTGCTTAGCGTGACAGCTGTGACAAAATAATAAAGAACTGCACCTGCTTAGCGTGACAGCTGTGACAAAATAATAAAGAACTGCACCTGATTAGCGTGACAGCTGTGACAAAATAATAAAGAACTGCACCTGCTTAGCGTGACAGCTGTGACAAAATAATAAAGAACTGCACCTGCTTAGCGTGACAGCTGTGACAGAAGCCCTCGTATGAAGCAATCTATGTGGTGGCCTATGGATGGAAACACCTACAACTTTGCAAGAATAATAAATAACGCGACTTGCAGGAGCAGATCTAAAGTTCGGGGAGGTTCAGGGACTGACCACTTTTGTCGAAATACTTTATGACCCAAAAACGTCAAAAGAATTATCTATTATTCTTCTTTTTCGTCCTCATCATCCCGTGAAAGATTACTGTAAAATATGGGCCTTTCCCAATTTAGGGGCCATAATTGCCATAATTGCCACGGTTAGGAAGCAGACTGATGATCCCAATATAAGGCCTATCAGCTCTGGACTTTTATTGGCTGTGATAGATGGTTGAATGAATAATGGTAGGTATTACTGCCTCGTTGGTCAAGGTAATCATGGGGTTCGAATTCCGGGTGAGGCCTAAATCATTTATTAGGTTTTTCTGTCAAGAAATTCTCAGTAGCAGCCCAGAGTCAAGAAGTTGGCGGTGTTTCGTCCCCGTGCCTTGGAACGCACATAAAGTCGTTGGTCCTGCGCCCTCCTGATCTCTCTCCGATCATGGCGGGTTGCTGTCCCATCAGACTGTAAGAGTGAGGGAATAGAGAGTGCACTTTTGCTTGCGCATACACTCGGTCACTTTAATCCTATCCTACGCAGATGGCTAGTTTCCGTTGAGACTGACCGCCGTAACCGAAATTCGATCTGGAGGAGATTATATTCAACATATGTTATTATGTTATTTCGCAATGTATGCCCGCATAGGTGGTTCAGAATAAGTTATGTAGGAGAATGGTGAAAAAAACGTTTAAAAAGATCGCATTTTGTCCTTTTTATCTTTTAAATTCAAAATGCGTGGTTACGCATTATTTTAATTTGTTTTCATTCATAAATTTCTAACGCCTATTATTTTACTACGCACGTACATATTAGTAAAGGTCGCTCGCGCTCGGTTACCTTGTCGCGCATCTTCCCACGCCCTTCCCTTCCGTTAACCGTTACACCGCTACGTATGTACCTACGTCCACCCGCCCGGCTGACAGCTGATGCTATTTTTCAATTTTCGTAGGTAAATTAAAAAAAAATATTCGAACACGAATATATAAACTATATTGTGTTACATTAACATATTTACGTGGTGTTACGCAGATTATACGAAAGTGAGTCTTTATTGCGGCAAGAAATTAACGTACGTGTACCTACCAATCGAAGAGCAATTTTCAGCTAATTAAACTATTCAAGTGCAGTATGCTATTATTAAAATAGTGAAAATAAACATATGTGGATTGCGCATAGAGGCCCCATACTAACTATCTACTATCTACTGGCCCGCAAACTAGCCGGACCATTCACTATTAGACTTTAATCTGTGTGATGAAATCATTGATTTATATGTTACACTAGATCAGTAATAACCGCGCCAAAGCATTGCCACTGCACATATGGCCACAGCCATATGCCTAGCTAACTTCAGTTCAGTGTTCAATGTGACGCCGACAGAGTTGAGCCGCGACAAAAAATGGGTAAATGCGTAGTGAAAGTATGCTATTCAAGGTCACAAAACCGTAATAAATCAAGCGGAATCACTTTCAACACATAATTTTTAGTTCTTGTTTTCATATAAACGTAAAAACCTCAAATAATTAAATAAAATTATCGGATATTGCCGTTTAGGTTCAATGTTGCCACTTTTCCGCATTTGTGATTATCCTACAATAATGGGAGACTAAATGATTAATGGAGTAAAATAATTTGTTGTTTAAATATTTTGGAAATTATAATAAAAACTTTGTTTTAACTTTCATACAAAATAATTAATTATTCTTATTTTAGTTTATTCATGAATTATCTATTAAATATATTTTATATTAATTATAATTTATTACTATTTTATATTGTTTGATTTATTAGTACAATAAAAATACTATTAAAATATGTTTTATTTCATCATTATATTTACTTCAATTCATCTGATAAGCTTTGTATCCTTTTGTAAGCTTCTAAGGGGACGCAATAAAGATTTTAAAATAAAATATACTTTTTTAACATAAAAACAATTAACTGCACCTTAAAAAAACTCATTTTTTATTGCGTATTTTAGGTAAAATTTCATATAGTAAGCCACACCAAACCGCCATTGCATGTTTGTGTGTCTATCTTTATCTAATCTTAACGACGATATTGTTTTCGCAACTTGTGTAAGTGAGATAGATATATGTTTATTTAAAACTGTTATTTGTTTCAAAGCTACGTCGTCGCGTTTGGATAGTGGTTACACTTTTTTCGACGCGCGGTAATGTGGTTTGCTCCTCTAGTGTTGCATAACTCAATGGATGAAATAAAAACTTGCGTTAACGTCAAAGAGAGCTAAAATTATGAAGACCGCCACTGCAAAATTATTGTCGTATTAACGGAAGTTAAAAGTGCTCAAGGACAGGTTATAAATGTAAAAAATAATTTAAGATAACGTGCTCGCATATGCATGGAGAGAAGCAGATTTAAATTTAGGGTACCAAATACCAATATTAGTTCTTGGAACTACTTATTACTACTGGTTCAGAAAATACCTGTGTCCTGGAAAGGACCGGCAAGAAGCCCAGCGGCATATTTTTGTAATAGACAGGGCTATTTTTAAAGAGTAGCCAAATTTAAATAAATGATACACCGTTATTGCAGTTTATGAAAATACGAGTAAATAAGGCTGGTAATTTTTTTGGAAATTATCCTAAATTTAATGTGGTTTATGGGCAACAACTACGCGTAAGCGAGCTCCTTTGTGTGGTTTTCAGATCGCCTTTTTGCCAACCGATCGACCCCTACGAACGTGTGCAAGCGTAGTAAAATAGAAAGCGTTAGATATTTATGAGTGACAATCAGTTAACATAGCATTTGAGATTTTTTTTAAATAATTTTGCTTCACCATTCGCCTGTATTCTGAACCTTGGTATGATGGAGGTCACCTCATTCCCAGGGGTTATTTTCATTCAAGTATTCCTTGATATTATTATAATTTATAACTCTGTACATTTTTTTATAAAACTTTCAAACTTGTTTATTAATAAAAAACTGAACATTTTCTGGGATTTTGTTGTAGAAACGAATTAATAGCGCATTGTCCGTTGCAGTGAGGCTGCGATCAGGGGAGACGGTGACGTTCCTGGATACGCCGGGGCACGCGGCCTTCAGCGCGATGCGTGCGCGTGGTGCTGGTGCCACCGACGTGGTAGTCCTGGTGGTGGCCGCAGATGACGGCGTAATGGAGCAGACCATTGAGTCCGTGCGCATGGCGCGAGAGGCGGAAGGTGAGAAACTCTTCACACCAACTGGCTTGTAATCACTGGGTGCTGGTGGTGGCCGCGGATGACGGCGTCATGGAGCAGACCATGGAGTCCGTGCGCATGGCGCGAGAGGCGGACGATGACACCAACTTGCTTATAGTTATTCGGCGCTGGCACCACTGATGTGGTGGCGCATTAATCATAATATATTGACAGTTTGAAAAATGCCCAATATGTGTAAGCAATATGATAAAATCTATTGAAATAATTTTATTGATCAGACTTTATAAAATCTCCTTACTTATCGGGCAGAGTAACAAAAAAATACGTTAAATTAGGGTACTATTACGAAAATAGTTAGGTTATTAATGTTATACCCAGTAATACAGGTTCCCAACCTAGTACAGGGGTTGCGACTGGTTTAAAATGTATCATTGTAAATCAATAAATCATTTTTCATTTTTTCGTTTTTAAATATTAATTACGTAGTCCGATTTGACTTGTCAGTAATCATACTGCCCGGGCATTATAAATAATGTCCCCTAGACCGAATTTCGGTCACGGCAGGCTGCTTCAACGGAGACTAGCCATCGGTGCAGGACAGGATTATAGTGTCCAGGTGTATGCGCAAGCACAAGTGCACTCTCTATTCCCTCACTCTCATAATCCGATGGGATGGTAAACCGACACGACCGGAGAAAGATCAGGCGCAGGACCATCGGCTTTACCCCGAGGCATGGGGGTGAAACACCTCCAACTTCCTGACTCCGGGCAGCTACTGAGAATTTCTTGACGGAAAACTCAATAACTGCTTTTATGGTCTGGCCTGGGATTCGATCCCTGAATCTCATGACCAGCAGTCGCACTACTTCAACCACGGGACCAACTAGGCATGCAGTACAAAAAGCATTACAAATAGTGCCCTCACTTGGTCCATAACCTTTACACTATCAACTTTTTTTTAAATAATAAGTCTTTACCTATGAAATTGCCATTCTGCAGTACTGGCCATTTCAAACCACAAGCACGGTATAAACGGCACGCAAAATCTACGACGGTTACGGAGTGAATACTACAAACGAACGCATCACCTGTTATTGGTTTTCGTTCTGGAAATTTCGATCTGAAAAGTTAACCCCGTGGTCGTCCGAAAACTTTGGCGACAATGACGAAACAAAGGCGATTCTGGAAACATATGATAATTTACGGTTGAATTAACAGCAGTTTTCGACGTTAGCATCATAACAATATTGGTCCTTTTGCATCAAATTGGCGAAGTATTAAAGCTAGACTAGTGGGTGCCCCACGGAACTCAATGATCGCCAACGCGAAGTACGCGTCGAGTCGTGCCTCATCATAAAACTTTGGTTGACAATGACGAATTAAAGGCTATTGTAGAAGCTGATGATATTCAATCTACACCTGAATTAGCAGCAGCTTTCGACGTTAGGATCAAAACAATATTGGTCCATTTGCTTCAAATTAGCAAGGTAAAAAAGCTTGAAATGGGTGGACGTACTATATGACGTGCCTTGCACTGCTCAACAGGCACACAAACGAAGAAATTTTGAACCGCATTGTTACCTGCGACGAAAAATGTATTCTGTTCGTCAATCGCAAGCACTCAATAAGTTGGTGGGACCCTGGTTCAGCACCTAAACAATGGCCTAAACGAAATCTTACTCCTAGAAAAGTGATGGTCTCTGTTTGATGGTTTAGCGTCGGTATGATAGATACATCACAGCTACTTACCAAACGCTATGAGCATTACTGCAGATGTGTACTGTGAAGAACTGAACACAGTGATGGAGAAGTTACCACGTCTCTCCAGCTTTGGTCAATCGCTTGACCTCGCTGCTCCTGCACGACAACGGGCGACTTCATACTGCACAACAGACGGTCTCCAAGTTACAAGAGCTGGGGTTGGAACCTCCGTCATCCGCCGTATTCACCAGACTTTGCGCCTACTTCTTCTTTTTCCTGAGTTTGGATAACTTATTGGCGGGAAAGAATTCAATACCCGAGAGGCAGTAAAAACTGCCTTGAATGAGAATATGTTGCCTCCCGTCCAGCCGATTTCTTCAAGAGAGACATCAATAATCTGCCACTGGGATGGCAAAGATGCATCGACTGTACGGGTGATACTTTGATTAATAGAAATAAAAAATATAGGAAAAAATAGGTTAACTTATTTTATAAAAAACGGCAATATGATAGGTAAACAACTAATATAAATTCAAAAATAGAATAATCGGTTTTGATTAACATTAAGCTTTAATTCTTACTATAGTCAACCAAATCTAAGAAATACATTTTGACAGCTGTCAAACTTATTGCACCAAGCATGCCAACCAAAAACTGGGAACATACAATATCCGATTCTTTAAAAAATCGATATCGATTATTTAGAGTTGGTAATCATTTATAGTTGGGTTTGAATAATATCAGAATAAATAAAAAATGGATAATTTAAAACACATCATTTTCTTCGTATTTGTTGTAATTGCTTATTTCTAGAGGCACATTAAAAAAAGTTTAGATTGAAACTAGATTAAAAATAAATTTATTCAATCACTTACAGTTCAGTACTTAGTGCCGTTGTTTAGATTAATTATCATTTGATTTTCAATAATGCAGTCAAAATTAATGTCTCTCAAAGTCATTCATAATCATTTTTTTGTTTTTTTTACCACTTTTATCCAATCATCGTTTTTGACATGGACACATGCTTCAAGGAATATAGAATCAATAGTCCAAAAAATTAAAGTCGAGTCACAAAATAAGAGGACAAACACAAAATCACAAAATTATGCACAGTAGGCTCCCGAAATGGCGGGAGATTGTAATTATGTAGTGGTTTTTTTCAGCGCGTCCTTGTCTATGACTTTTTTGTCCACTCAAAGGACAATGGCGAAATAATAGGTGATGGAATTCATATCAATAAAATAATTTACTATGTATTATCTAATCAAGCTTATGGGCGATAGAAAAAATAATCATACACAATTCAAAACTTAATTGACTAGTTGTTGTAGTCGTTACGATTCGTCAGTTAAGACAGACAAAGGTCTTATAACATACAGCCGAGTTTGACGTGTGTTTTATTCAGAAAATCCTTCTGTGTATACTAATGCCAAGGATTCCCTTTATGCTAGTAACTACCTATAATACATGAAAATTATATTGACTAGTTATTGTTGTAACGATTTGCCAATAAGGCGTTTCATACCATACAGCCTAGTCTGATGTGCATTTTATTTAAACTGGAATATCTTTAATTCCTGACTTCCTACAGTAGTATGACCGAAGAAAAAATGTTCAGGATTAAACTCCTTTAAAAAGTATATTTTTACATATTTTGCATTTGCGCTCCTTCATTTCGAAACCGTTACAAAACAAAAAAAAAAAAAAACTAAATTTTACAGGAGGGCTAATTTACAATTTTTGCATTACCATTTACCTCTTAAGAAGAAAGTAATGAACACATGAAATATTTCTGAGATTATTTGTTAAATTATTGGTTCCTTTTTAAGGTGTGTAGTCCTTTTGATTTAATATTTTCTATAATGAATTTTTATAACCTTTTTAAATTTTTATAGTAACACTTGCATTAATTATTTTTTCAATTAGGATTAAATTAAGTAAAGTTAGTATAAAAACAATATTACTATATTAAAAATCGAATTCTAGCTATTATAAGAAAAAATAGTATTTTAGACAAAGGTCAATTAAAATATAATAATTCAAAGTAAAATTTATTAAAAAAATAACTTAAAATTGTACTTTTATGACAGTTAAACAAACCAACCAAGTGACAGGTGACAACTGGTATAGTAACGGTTTCGTATTTATTTTTGTTTTAAATTTCTGTTTAGTAACGTTTTAATTTGACACCATCTTCCAAAATATTGGGAAGTAAATAGACCTGTCGAATTCGTTCTGTAGATTTTGCCGATTTAAGTAAAATGACACCATTATCTCTATATCGTGAAAATTTAGTTTAGTAACAGTTTCGAAATGAAGATGCGAATTTGAAGACGCAAGAAAAAAAGTCAACTAAAATTTATTTGGGAGTTCGCCATTGTCCTTTACGTTGACAAAGTAAAAAAATATACTTGTTTTATTCATGATTCATGTAGTTTAAGGAATTTTAAAATAAAAATTTAATTAAATAAATAATACATTTAAAAAATTAATGATTCGATTATTTGAATATTTTCAACGATTATTTGAATCTTTTTGCCGATTTTTCGCATATCAATGCATTATCATCATCCAAACACTAGGGTACATAGCGACATATCATTGAACCGACGTCAAGTAAAAAAGTTGATACTAGTTATTTTTTTAATATTTTGTTTTGTTTGAAAGATTCGAATTTAAATTAGCGATAAAAAACTAAACACGTTGTAAATAAATATAGATAACTTCATAATTCTTCAGATTTAGGTAAGAGGTTATTGTAAATCGTATGAGTACGCTTGTGCAAAGTTATTGCGGAATGATTAATGTGAAATGTCAAAAGGTATTTTTTAGATTTGGTTGACTATAGTTAATTAATAAAATATTCGTTTTTTCTTCCTTACAGTACCAATACTGGTGGCGATCAACAAAATCGACAAGCCAGGTGTAGACATTGTAGGTATGCCTCAATTTTATATACATTTGTGTATGTCTTAATCGTGTGTCACGCTAGGGCGACGCGTCTTGTGTCTGCGATGAGCGGGAAAAATAACAAATCTACAAGGGTGGATTGAAAAGTACTCGGCCTAACACAGATCCATTCAATTCTAAAAATCAAATCTACCCACATTATTTAGTTCAGTTCAGACTAGTTCATTGTGTGAAGTTCGAAACGTGTGCGATAATTAGTTGTGATTTTATAAATTTATTAACAAAGTAATCGGACATAATTTCCGCGAATGGAGCAAATCGAGCAGCGTGCCGTCATTAAGTACCTCCATAAGAAGGGGCTATCATCAAAAGCCATCCATGATGACATGGTCAGTACATTAGGCGATTGTGCTCTGTCATATTCATCCGTCAAAAAATGGATAGCAGAATTTAAGCGTGGTAGAGAGAGTGTGAAAGATGAACCCCGCTCTGGAAGGCCTTCGACGTCAACTACTGACGAAAATATTAAAAAAAGTACTTGATTTAATAATGGGAGACCGCAGATTAAAAATTAGAGAGATAGCCGAGATTATAGGCATCTCTTATGAACGAACTCAAAACATCATTGTCAACGAGTTGGGTTTCCACAAGGTGTCTGCGAGGTGGGTTCCGCGACTGCTTTCAGTTGAACAAAAAAGGACGCGATTGACTATTTCACGCGACTGTTTGGAGTTATTTGAAGCCGATGCAGATGATTTTTTGAATCGTTTTGTTACTATAGACGAAACATGGGTTCATTACTGTACACCAGAAATAAAACAACAATCAAAACAGCGGAGAAGACCTGGTTCACCACCCCCTAAAAAGGCTAAGTCGATTTTGTCGGCAAATAAGGTGATGGCTTCAGTATTCTGGGACTCGAAAGGTGTGATTATGATTGATTATCTTGAAAGGGGTCAGACTATAAACTCTGATTACTACTGCACCTTACTACGTCGTTTACGAGAGGAAATAAAAGAAAAACGTCGAGGAATACTCAGAAGAAAAGTCCTGTTTCATCAAGATAACGCCCGTGTTCACACGTCAGTACAGTCAATGGCTGAAATTCACAACTGTGGCTTTGAACTGTTACCGCATCCGCCGTATTCACCTGATCTGGCACCATCAGACTTCTTTCTGTTCCCTAACCTATAAAAGCACTTGGGAGGTCAAAGATTTTCGACAAACGACGAGGTCAAAGCGGCTGTAGACGCATATTTTGACTCTAAGGAAGAATCATTTTTTTTCAACGGTCTAAATGCTTGGAAGGGGAGGTGGCAAAAGTGTATTGAACTTGATGGTGATTATGTAGAAAAATAAAAATATAACTGATTTAGTATGTGTTTATTTTCTTGGTTAGGCCGAATACTTTTCAATCCACCCTCGTAGACTAACGGGAGGTGTCATGTTGGCGCGCCCGGCGTGCGCGTTATGCGACCGCGATCAATGGAGCACAATGTTTATTTTTTTTGCGATGCAAAATAAAAATACGGAGACCTTTATTAATGAAATAATATCTCGGTTTGCAATATGGTCCAGTAGGCTTGAAAATTATAAGCATAATATTATTTTTCTCAAAACTTTTGTACGTATTTCACCATACAGTCTACGATATTCTCCAAACTTACGCCTGTTTTAGTTTAAATCATGAACAATGTGTGTGTATTTTAAATTCCATTATATCTTGTGTAAAAAAGCTATTCTATCTCTTTTAGACACGAAAGTGCTAATTTAGAAAGCCTCATTTTTAGCTCGCACAAACAGCAGGAAGAAACCTCATGTCATGCAGCCGCCTCAATGTGGTATACTACAGTAGCAAGGCGCAGCGTCTTCACGCCTCCCGCCTCCGCAGGTCGCCTCCGCTCCCCGCAGTCGCTCTAGCGTGGCCAACGTCTTAAATCAGCAGAGAAAAAAATATTGTTAATGATGCATGATCTAGGTGGTACGCTTCCTTTTCTCCCTAATCCGTTTGGGTAGGTACCATTCAGCATACACCTGCAGCCAACTACAAAAAATGAACACTGTAAATGCGTTGTTACCTCTATTTTCTGGATGTTATTGTTGTTAGTCTATGCGACTATTACAGATTCATCTGACTCAGAGCTAATTAAAAAAGGGAAAGGCAATGACATGAGGATGATGATGAAATGATTTATGATTTGGTATTGTTACCAATCATCATGTCGCCTTTTTAGGCGTTATTGAGCTATCTAAACGCTGTCCGAGGGGGAGAGTGCGGACCCCCGTCTCTGACTGCTTGCTCGTGTCTGTCGATGATCTGGGTGGTGAGAACCGCCAGGGAACGCGGGTGTATGGTGTGTACGCGGTGTGTGCTGTAACGCGTCGTGCCCGTCGGCGGTGCGACGCGCCCCATTCGTAATCCTAACAGTGTTTGTCCCATTTTGTGTGGGTGTAGTGTCATTGTGTGATGTGCTTGCGACGTTTGGGTTTCGCGGTCTGCGGAGAGAGGGCGCGACGTTTGCTATCGGAACGTAGTTTGCTGCGTTTGTCACTACGTTGTCACCTCTGAGAACCAGGGATTTGGATTACCTCGCAGCCAGTAATTTTACTGGCTCTATATACCGTACAAACCGGAACACAGCAGGGCGAGCAAGGCTATTTGGTGACAGAAATCAGTAAGATATATCCTTCACAGGCGGACTCCTAATGGTAGTAAACTTAAATGGGGCCATTGTTAAAGGCAATTAATGTTACGGTTAGCCGTTACAGCCTATTTAAGTTCACTGCTAAACTTAGGCCTCCCCCATAGTGTCTCATAGGGAATAGCTGCCACGCTTGACAAGCAAGTTGGCGTCACTGTCTTTGAATCACACGGGGGTCCAATACACTTGTCGAAGGACACAAAAATAATTATTTTTCACTCGAAGGACCAAAAATGTTCGGGTAATGGACTTATCTTTAATAATAAATTAAATTTTATGTAACAACAGTTTAATGAAGAACTAAAAAAATATAAATGTTAATGTTATGTTAATGAGTTCGTCCGTAGCAGTTACGGTGATTACGTGAACTAACTCAATTTTTAAAATTGTCGAATTAGCGATTGCTTCACGTAAAATGTTAATGCCAGCAGAACTGTCCGGTTGGACCGTACACCCGCAGTTTTTTTAATTCGTTATTAGGGAGACGCAGCTGCCAATCTACTGGTTTATTTCCCTCTGTCGCCTTTTATGTCACCCATGGAACGATATGGGGGAGTGGATATTCTTACACCGCCACTATACGCTAAGTTAGTCAATTGACAAATAAGAAATCAGCTAAAACAGTTGACTGACCTTGGTAAAATCGATTTACTTGCGTTAAAAAGGAACTACACTGAAAATAATAACCCCATTTATATGCCCATTTATACGCCCGATTACACAAACACTGCTCAATTTTAAGATGCCGTTAAGTCTTACGCTGTTTCTATCACTTTAAGTCAAAGTGACTGTAATTAATGCCTGGTGCATAGCGAGTTAACAATAGCGCCATCTAGTATCGTTTAGCAGAACTAGGAGAGTCAAGATTCTTCTAAAGATTTCCACGCCAGAACTCTACACCTTGTCATTCCGGATCGGTACGAACACGAATATTCTGGATATTTCAGTAGAACTGGTCCTATATAAGGTCGGTAAGGACTTCGACCGAGTCAGTATTGAATTGGTGATGCAAGCGAATACTTCGAAGGGATACAACTGCGAATTAAAGTGATCAGTACTACGAATGTGTTTTATTATTAGTGTGTTTTAAGTTGTAATTTGGTGTTCTGTCATTAAAGAGTCAATTTTGGTAATTCAATCGGCAGTTTTTTATTGTCACGAATCCCAAGCTCGTAACATTACTTACCGACATCTTAAAATTGAGTAGCGTTTGAGTATTTAGCTATTAATATCTTCAGTTTTAAGATGAAAATCTTGTCCATAGCAACGCACACTACGTTCGCTCGCACAACACGGCGTGGTGTGTGAAGCTCTAGGTGGTGATGTACAAGCCGTCCAAGTGTCCGCACTTAAAAAGTTAAATCTGGACACGTTGGTGGAGGCGCTGACACTTCAGGCGCAACTGATGGACCTCAAGGCGGACCCCGGGGGATATGTGGAGGGAGTCGTCCTGGAAGCTCAACTCGACACGCGGGTTGGGTGAGTTAGGATATTTTGCCTTGATAAACAAAATATTTTTTTTTGCATAATTATGTCCTCCAGACGGAATTTCAGTCACGGTGGTTTGTCTCAACCGAGACTAGCCATCTGCGCAGACAGAAATATGCACTCTATTCCTTCAGTCTCATAGTCCAATTGGACGGTAATCCGACACGACCACAGGAAGATCAGACGCAGGACCTACAGCTTTAGGTGCTTTCCGAGGCTCGGGGGTGAAACACCGCCAAACTCCTAACTCTGGGCTGCTACTGAGAATTTATTGACACAAACCCAATAACTGATTTTGGCTCGACCTGAGATTCGCCTTGTGTACGTTAAGATTGACCACCGTGACTAAAATTCGGTTTGGAGTACACATGGGTCGTACTTGCAAAGTCGAGTACCAGGGCTTCCAAGTACGTCTACCTTCAGCTACCAGCGCCAAAAACCAGAGCTCGAGATACTATCAAGTATTTTCTTTCTGCATCGAAAATTGATCCGTAAGATCATACAAATAAGGTGTGCAATCGCATATTCTTAAATAGTAAACTTTCAAGCCTTGTTGGATGAAAAATATTTGCATAGAACGTTGATCCGATATACAAATAAAGAGCAGAATCGCGTTTACAAAAAAAAAAGACTTCAAAACCCTTAAAAGTTCCAACTTGCATAGAACACTGATCCGTAACTTAATGTAAATAAGAAGCAAAATCGCGTTTACAAAAAAAAAATACTTCCAATCCTTTAAATTAAATACCTTGATAGAACATTGATCCGTAACAGAATATAAATAAGGAGCGGAATCGCGTCGAGTGTCGACAGCGCTAGAATATTCAAATACTTTGAAGTCTTGCGAGTATTTTGAATGGGTACTTGGTCGGCGTACTTGCAAGTAAATACCTGGTATAAAACCTGGTCGAGTAAATACGCACGTTCCCTAGTTTGGAGGAAGTTATTTTTGAATAATTTGCTATTTTTAAAATGTTTTAAGTGCTGGTTTTTAAAAAAAATCAAAATTGAAAGTACTTTAACAATATTAACGCAATTAGCTTTGACAATTAAAATAGCAAATACGTTATACAATTTCGTGCATCATATAATTTAATAAATGTTATTTTTGATTTATTACAAAAAATGGAATCATGCCATCTCTAAGCATCTCGTAACTTCAGCTGGGTAATTTATAATTAAACACAATGTGGTAGTGCCATGCTGCAGCTACGTTGTGGTTGCAACGCGAATGGGTCGGCTCAACCGGGGCAGGACCACGCTCTCACAGAATACCAGTGTGAAATAGTAGCTTAATGCTGCTGTGTTTCGTATGGTGAGTGTAGAGAACCGGAGACCCTTTTTACTGAAAGTGAGTTATTCCATCTTAGTCCTCACGGATGACAACGCATCTGCATTTTGATTCATAATCGAGGATAGAAGTAGATGTCTATGAGCCACGGCATCCACTTACTATCAGGTGGACTGTGTGCTCGTTTGTCACCCTTATTCTATAAAATAAAAAAACAAAAGGTATTCAAAATACATAAGCAATTTTGTCATGATTTATAGTGTAAACATTACTTTTAGGAAACAAGCGACTGTGCTAGTGCAGAGAGGGACACTGCGGAAAGGTTGCATTCTAGTTGCTGGAAACGGCTGGGCTAAGGTAAGAAATAAGTTACAGCATTATTTTTTAATTATTATGAGGCAGTGCTTGACAACAAGTAACAGTAGGTGATTATGAAGTCCTAAATGGCAAATCGAACTGTCTTAACCTAAAAATGCTTATAAAATATGGTTTGGATGACGCTTAAAGTACATAATGTAACAATATACAGTGTTATATTTCAAAGAGTAGCCAAATTTTTAACTTAAGTTCAAATATGTAAATAATGATATACCATTATTGCAGTTTTTTTAAATACGGGTAAATAAGGCTTCTAATTTTATTTGAAATTATCCCAAATTCAATGTCATTTATGGGCCACCGATCGACCATTACGAATGTGTGGCATGCACAGTAAAGTCAGTTAAAATAATGCATTACCTAGCATTTTTAATTTAAGAGATGAAAAGGACAGAATGGTTGAGTTGTCATCTACTACTACATCAGATCGTTACATCTTAAAGAATTTCGATTCCTATTGTCTTTGACTTTTTAATTATTGTGCTGAATTATCTTGAAAAATAAGAGCCATCAAAAACATAACTTGTAAAAAATCCAAGTCCCGCATCTCAGTTCTTCTACCGTAAAAATTTGCGAGATCCATTGATTCGTATAACAGCAAGTCGGTTAATTTATTCAGTCCCTACTTAAGGGTCCTTCTGTCTTAAGTTATTACGTAGTTAGCTAACCTAACAACATCTTATTGTGAACATATCAATGTCAAAAATCTTATGTTTTAAATAAATAGATTGACTTGGGTCATTGCATGAAAACACAAAGTATCTTACAAGTAATAAATATTATATTAAATTGGATTATTTATAGTATGTGCCAAATCGATTGAGAAAAACGGACAATGACCTTTCGGTCGTTTAACCAGGGGTTACAAACCATCAATATATAGGCAAATTTTATATGTAGTACTTTCATTATTAATAATGTTTTTTTTTTATAATGGTTGATATATTTATTAACTATTATTAAAAGTTATGTAAAAGATCGCTGTAGAAGAAAAATCATCTATTGTTATAAAGTACTTTATTCATTTAACAACACAAAGCATTAATTTATAACACATTTATAAAGATTCGAGTGATAACGACACCGAATAAGTACGTAATTATTCAAAAGATAAAACTTTATTTTCAATATTATATAAGAACTTTATTTTTATTCGGTGCATGCGGACCGGCCCAAAAAAGGTGACGCATCTCTGGCTGCCATTGTCACGTTTCTTTTAGAACGAACTGACGTAATGCGCGTTTTGTTTATTTTAAGAGGATGAATGTGCAAAAGCTCAATATGGTGATTATATTGATTGAAATATTTTTTTAATATGAAACTGTTATTAAATGAATTGCTCCGTTACTTACCATAAATTGAAATATAAATATAACACATTTTTCGCAATGTACCGTAAGGTTTGACGATGTTTATAGGAACCACAGACAATATTATTTAAGAAACCAAAAACAAAACATATGTGCTGACCTAGAATATTTAAATATTTCATGAAGATAAAAGATGAACTTTCACGACGTACAAAAAATGGAGAAAGTGATCTTATAATGAAATACGTCAGAGGCATACCAAGTATTATAAAATCGGTTTCAAAAAACTCCAATCACCAATAATAAATAACACCTCACCCGATACCATAAACTATCAAATAGTTAACGACTACCAACTTATCCAGACTAAAAGATCACGTTTATCATTTCTCTGCTTAAATGCTCGTAGTATTCGGAAGAAAGGCAAACTAGATGAACTTAAATGCATTATAAAATCAATATCAACAACTGTACATATTATTTTGCTCACAGAAACTTGGATACAGACCGAAAATCAAACTTTACAACTACAAATCACTAACTACACACTTTATTCCAACAACAGGACAGATATAAGAGGAGGTGGAGTATCAGCATACATACATAACAGCTTAAAACATAACCTTATTGAATCGACTTACCAAGACGGAAATAACTATTTATGGATAAAAATTCAAAAATTTGCACTAGATGTTGGCGTGGTTTATTATCCTGGACATACCAATTTTCAAAAATTTTTGGAAGTATACGACAAATAATTACAGCATCACAGGAGAGCAATAGTTTTCGGAGATTTCAACATTGACTTGTTGACAAAAAACAATAAATTAAAACGGTACAAGCAAATAGTCAAAGAATCAGGATATAGATTACTCAACAAAATAAACCAAACCTATTGTACAAGAGACTCCACCACGAAGAAATCGATCATAGACCATGTTAGCACTAACCTAAAAGGTGACCATTTCAATATTGTTATGATCAACTCACCTATGACAGACCATAAACAAATTTATGTACAATTAAACAGATTTAAACCACCAAAAAAAATACGTAAACGCTATGAAGCAATCAACTATAAGAAACTATATAACTCGATAAAATCACACAGATTTGAAGAAGACTTAAATTACAGTCAATTGGAAACTAAACTAAAACAATACGTTGAAGACAATAAAGTAATAAAAACCAAAATATTAAATCCACCACAAGAAGACTGGATTAATAACAATATACTTATTGGCATTAGTCAAAGAAACTATTTGTGGATGCAATACAAAAATAATCGAGAAAATGAATCATTAGAAAAAGAGTTTAAGTTGAAGAGATGCAGAGATGCAGTGGCTAAGCAGATCCAATATACGTTAAATTCCTACTATTATAAACTATTTCAAAATTATACTAATAACCCAAAAAAAATGTGGCAATTTATAAACAATCTAGCAAGCAACAAAATAAAACAAAGTTGTGCTTCTCCAAAACTTATTGTAGATTTCAAGGTAATCAATAACACAGTCGAGATTTGTGAGATTTTTAACGAATATTTTTCAACTATTAGACCACAATTAGCAGATAAAATACCTAAGAAACATCATAGTAGCTCCACTTATCCTTTCTCTAAAACACAAACAGCTAATAGTAATGAACTTTCTACACTAGCCCCATGTACTGCTAGTGAAATTCGTAAAATTATACAAAGCCTCGATTCGAATTCTAGTAGTGGCATAGACAGAATTAGCACAAAAGTAATAAAGTGCCTACAACATTTGATAGCACATGACTTAGCTCAATGTTTCAATAAACTTATGATCGATGGAGAGTTTCCAGATACTAACAACATTGCAAAGATAACACCAATCTTAAATCGACCACCACCCAACTATCGTCGATATCGGTATTGCCGGTCATGTCAAAAATTTTAGAAAAAGTCATACATAATCGTTTAGAAAATTACTTAAATTCTTTTAACTTTATATCAGAACGGCAATATGGATTTCGAGCCAAAAGTAACACCACTACCGCAACAATCGATCTAACAACTAAAATAAAAGATAGTATAGATAAACGGCAAGTGGCTTTAGGTTTATTTATCGATTTAAAAAAAGCCTTTGATACTATAAGTCACAAATTGCTATTACAAAAACTTGAAAGCATCGGAATCAAAGGTAGTGCTCTTAAAATATTTAAAACATACCTATCAAATAGATCGCAAGTAGTGAAGCTGGATAATTTTCAAAGTAGCGCCTTACCTATCACGCATGGTGTGCCGCAGGGATCTATAATATAAAAAAAATCTTGGGCCACTTCTATTTCTAGTCTATATTAACCAAATCGCAGAGCTAGGGTTACATGGTCATCTAACTTTGTATGCTGACGATACATGTCTATTTTATTTCGGATCTAAAATACATGATATCATCTTGCAAGCGCAAGAAGATCTAGAACAATTGTCTGAGTGGTTCCGATATAACTTGCTAACGGTTAAACACTTCTAAAACATGTTACATAATTTTTAAAGCAAAGAACAAAACTATACCATTACATGATCCACTGACAATTGATAACATCCGCTTAGAACAAAAAAAACCTGCGAAAAATACCTAGGCTTCAGAATGGACAATTACTTAACATGGAATAGGCAAATAGATCACATTAAAAGTAAACTTTCGGCACTTACTGGATCACTTCACAATATTTCCCATTGTCTACCTAAAAAAAATGCGTTACACTATATAACTCATTAGTTAAATCGCATTTACTTTATCTTATAGAAATTTGGGGTAATGCTGCTAAAACTAAGATACAGGAACTTCAAAGAATACAAAATAAAATCATAAAAATACTTTTTCACTATCCCTATTTAACAGCAACTTCTAAAATTTTCAAAGAAAAAAAAAAACTTATGAACGTTCAACAACTACATATATATAATACTTGCATTATAATTAGGAAAATACTAGATAAAACCATCCATACTAACTTGTCTTTTGTAAGAAATCACAAATTTGTAAACGCAGTCTTCGACGACCTAGCTTACTTGTACTACCAAAGGTACGAACAAACTACGCAAAAAAAAGCATTACCTTTGAAGGAGCACAGATCTATAATAAATTGCCTTGTAATATAAAAAATGTAAGCTCATTTAGTAGTTTTAAGTCTCAGTTATCACAATACGTAATTGGAACATTTTTCACCATTAAATTGAGGCTATGAAGTTACTGAGTGTTCGGCGACCTTTAGAATAAGTATACTAAAATGTAATTATTATTTTCATGTAAGTGGCATTGTTTGTCTTTTTTGAAAATAAATTTCTTTAAACTCAAATATTGTTATCACATCTAAATTGAGATTTTGTAAGTTACGTCTTTTGACACTCGGCTCATATCTGAGGTCATTGTCTGTTTTTCTCAATCGATTTGGCACATACTACGAGTATAGTGCGATTGCCAAGTCAATTTATTTATTAAAACATAAAAGATTTTTAATACTGATATGGTCACAATAAGATGTTGTTAGGTTAGCTAATTACGTAATAACTTAAGACAGAAGGACCCTTACGTAGGGACTGAATAAATTAACCGACTTGGTATTACATGTATCTCATAACTTTTTACGGTAGAAAAACTGAGATGCGAGACTTGGTTTTTTTTACAAGTTATGATATTGATGGCATCTCATTTCTTTGTGTAGATAGTCCTCCTTTTTTCCTTCCGGTACCTTCTACTTCTTGAATACCAACAACGTACATATCAGTGGCGAAACTTCCATTAAAGCCGAAAAGCCGGGCTTGCCTTATTAAACCTGAATCAATCAATAATATCATATAATAATAAATAACTCGTAAAATGTTTCAAGCTATTTCAAATTTCCCGCGCACTCCACTGTTCGACACATGTCGACCGATGACCTCGTATTGCCTTAGCGATACTGCTGCTGTCATAAAAAAATGAGTTTTAATAGAGCTAATAGTTGTCTCCCTCGCTTGCGTGAGCTTTTTACGGGGCTTTCGAGAAGACGATCGCTCTCTTTCTAACCTATGGCAAAATATTCTATAATGAAATATAACTACGATTGTATATATAGCAAATTAGTATAGAGATTTAAAGCCAGGCTTTTGGGAATAAATTTGTTAAAAGCGGAGGCGCGCGGGCAATAAGTTTTCAAGTTCATTTCACGTTTCAGTGTTTATTTACTCTGTGTGCTTATCTTAAGCGGTTTAATATTACGAGTTCAAAATTTATGCTTTTTTAAAGATTTTTAATGAAAATGGAGGATAATAGTGTTCCTTGTGATGAATTGAAGTGTGTTAAAGTGATAATCGGAGAGGAAATCTTTAAACTTTGTTGAGATAATACACAGGTTAAGAGTGTATTTCAGACTTATCAATTATCGCAATTAAAACAGTTATTGGTACAATTAAAACGTTCACCAACATTTTACGTGGACGTAATTAAATCTTTCCATAAGAAAGCGAGACGATTCCACTTATCTTATCTCTTATCCTCTCTATATCTCTTATATATTATTTACTTTACGGAAATCTATAAAGATGTTAAAGTTCAATTAGTTAAGATACATATAAAAATAAAAATGATGACCTAATTTGAAGAGCACCTTGGGAGTGTAACTTTTTAACATTTTTAGGAATATATTTTGTACTTGCATTGTATGATGTAGGTCCGCATGCTGCAATCGGCAGATGGTCGTCCCGTACTGGAGGCCCCGCCTTCGAGCCCCGTGTCGGTGCTGGGCTGGCGCGAACTGCCGGCTGCCGGGGACACCGTGCTCGAAGTTGACTCAGATGTATGTTCAACATGTTATCTTTTAAATCATTTTTTTTTTTGTAATCTAACTAACTTTTTTTGATAAAAATGTTAAGAGTAGAAATTTAGAATTAAAATTTTAGATAAATAATTCAGAAATATTTAATTTAAATTTTAAATAGTAATGGGGTTAAAAATTTACCTTGCGGTAACCATAACTAGTTTAGTTTATAGATTTTTAAAATAATAAATTATTCTATAAATTCATGTTTAAAGTAATTGGAAATATAAACTTTAAAAATTGAAATTTTTTTAAGAACTGTCAAAACAAATATTTGTATGGGAATGTAGTGCAATAACATTTTCATAGTTATATATGTTTATTTTAACAGATATGTATTTAATACATTAATAGATATTTTTAACAGCTGAATCCTAAATTAAATTAAAATCGAATCAAAATTGAGACACCGCTAGAAAGTAGAATTTAAAAAAAAGAAATGACAAACATACCTGACAGTTCGCCTGATGGTAACTGATTACTGCTTTTCGTGGACACCAGCAATTGCGGTCCCTCTGAGGACTAAGATAGAATGGCTCTCTATACCCTTAAGATTGAAACAAAGTGTACGTACACACAACTGCTTGGCGACAGAAATAACTAATAACATTTTTTTTTATAGTATAGGGTAACAAACGAGCACACAGTCCACCTGATGGTAAGTGGTTGCTGCGGCCCATAGACATCTACATCTATCCTCGATTACAAATCAAAATGCAGATGCGTTGTCACTCGTGAGGACTAAGATGAAATGCATCGTTTCCAGTAAAAAGAGTCTCCGGTTCTCTACACTCACCATACGAAACACAGCAGCACTAAGCTGCTATTTTACGCTGGTATTCTGTGAGAGCGTGGTCCTTCCCCGGTCGAGCCGACCCATTCGTGCTACAACTATACTACTATATAACTGCAGCATGGCTCTACCACGTATAAAAATACTAATATTACTACTAATATATTCCTTAATATACTCCTATTTTTATTGCAATTTTATCATTTATTAATGATAGTTTCTTTTAATTATTAACATCACCAATAATGTAATTCGATTGAAATAATGAGCCTTATAGTGGCGGTATAAGAATATCCACTACCAACATCATCCCGTGTGTATCATAAGAGGCGACGGAGGGAGACTAAAACAGGAGATGAAAACAGCAGCCGCATCTTCCTGATAACAACTCAACATAATAAATTATTGCAAGTGCCTTAAAGATGCCGTATAATGGCAGTGTAAGAATGTCCACTAACCTAAATCATCTCGTAAGTGTCGTAAGATGCGACAGAGCAAAACTGAAACAGGAGATGAGCGGCAGCATCGGCCTGATAACATCTCAAAATAATAAAAATTGCGGTCGCATACCCGCCTGCCAAGCGTGGCACCTATGGCAAAATCCTCCCTATGTAGCAAAATTTTGTGCTAGACGTGGTAAAGTCATGCTGCAGTTACATTAGTAGTATAGTACATTACATTAATTGTAGCGCGAATGGGTCGGCTCGACCGGGGAAGGACCGCGCTCTCACAGAATACCAGCGTGAAATAGTAGCTTAATACTGCTGTGTTTCATATGGTGAGTGTAGAGATCCGGAGACCCTTTTTTACTGGAATCGTGGCATTCCATCTTAGTCCTCACGGGTGACAACGCATCTGCATTTTGATTCGTAATCGAGGATAAATGTAGAATGTAGAGATGTCTGGACCACAGCAACCACTTACCATCAGGTGGACTGTGTGCTCGTTTGTCACCCTTATGCTATAAAAAAGCAATTAACTTTAAATGAATGGACGAATGATTAAAACCGTTCGTAACAGAAACGTGCGCACGAGGTAATGAAATGGCGTCACAGTCAAAGCATGAAGGAGAAGCAGGAGGAGGACTCTGAGGCGATATCAGCCAAGGAAGCCACTCACAGAGCTCAGTACCGCGAGGCGCTGGCACACAAACGCTCGCTGGGACGGATGAGGCTCCGGCCCGAGGGACCAAGGCAGAAGCTTATCAAAGAAGATACACATCCCACACTTAGAGTTCTAGTAAAAGGTAGGACTTTGAAAAAGTAAGAGACAAGTTTTTTTAACTTATAAGTCAGACTTTAAGTAGTTTTACCTAACTAACCATCTTAGTTTTGTGTACTTTGCAAGATACATATCTATGTGTGAGGGACTTGGGTTTGTCATGCTCGATCAAAGATCTTGCGGTGACATCGTATGGTGGGTCACCCACTTCCTTTTAATGTCTTCGGTGGGGGGAGGGGTTGTCAGGTGCTGTTTGCGGAGGTTGATCTGCTAGGTTTACTCTTTATCATGCTTCAGCTACCGCTACGTATGTTAGTGTATTCCGTTCTATCTGTAATATATTATTTTTATTATTTATTATTGTCATATTATGTTTTCCATTGTGTATATCATATGCTATTATATATAATAACTGTAATAAATCATAAAAGAGGATACTTGCGGTAAGAAAATTACAAAAAAAGATGCCGAATATATTTTTATTTAAATAGTCCCGTTGAGTTTTTTTGATGGTTCTTCCCAGGACCAGTGGTAAATAAAGTAAACTAAACTATATGGAATAAAAAAATTTCCATTTCTATTGTTAAAAATTCTTTCTTCTAGTGTTGGATTTAAAGAATTTTTAACACATTTTAACCGACCAAAAAAAGAGGAAATACTCAATTCGACTGTATGTTTTAAGTGTTACCAGTTACGACATGGCGGCAATCGAAAGACTTTAAAAAAGTAAATTAAATTAATTTCGGAAAACTTACAAAAATAATAAATTCAAATAAAATGTAAAATTACAAAAGAAGTTAAGTGATGTTTTTTTTTTTTTAATTTCATTTTATAGAAGATGATGTTAAGTGACTACCGCTGCCCGTGATCAACTGCAACACCAGGGGAATTGCAGGTGCGTTGCCGGCCCTTTAGAAAGGAGTAAGCTCTTTTCTTGAAGGTCCCCAGGTCGTATCGGTCCGGAAAAATCGCCGGCGGTAAACTATTCCACAGAGAGGTCGTACGCGGAAGAAAACTTCTTATGAAACGTACAGTGGTGGACCGTCAAGCATCCAAATGGTGTGGATGGTATCGGGACGTTTGCCGCGTAGTGCGTTCACAAAATTTGGCGGCTGGGATTAACCCGGACAATTCCTCAGAGCACTCCCCATGGTATATGCGAAAGAAAATGCAAAGAGATGCAACATCTCTTCGCAGCGCCAGTGAATCAAGCCGATCGGAAAGCACTCGGTCGTCGACGATTCGAGCCGCTCTGCGCTGGATGCGGTCAAGTGGAAGGAGCTGGTACTGGGGAGCGCCAGCCCAGAGATGGGAACAGTATTCCACGTGCGGCCGAACCTGCGCCTTGTAAAGTTGCAGACAGTGTGCCGGCATGAAATACTGTCCCGCTCTGCTGAGCATGCCAAGCTTTTTAGAGGCTAATTTGGCCTTCTCTTCCAAGTGACCACGAATCTGCACGTCACTCGATATGTCGACGCCGAGGATTCCGATACTGGCTGTGGCAACAAGGGGAGCGCCTTGAAACTGAGGAGATACGACAAAGGGCTTCTTTTTAACGGTTAATGTGGGATGGTGTCAGCCTGTAAGACAGTTCCATTGTCTCCACGGCGATCTTTTCCGCAGCGAAAGCATTCTTCATTTGCCCATTGTTCTGTGTAACTGCTATGTCAGCCCGATTCCAGGGTTACGACACATTAGCTTGCCTCAGAACTTTTTTCTACTCGTAGGTGAACCGATTTTAATGATTTTTTTTCTTTGAAAGCTGGTGCTTCTCGTGTGGTCCCATAATTTGATTAAAATCTGACTAGTAGTTTTGAGTTAACCTCAATAACGCGTATGTAATTGACTTCGACTGCATTGGTTATGTTCTCATTTTTTTTATAGAATAAGGGTAACAAACGAGCACACAGATGGTAAGTGGATGCTGTGACCCATAGACATCTACATTTATCTTCGATTACGAATCATCTAAGATGGAATGCCTCGTTTTCAGTTAAAAGGGTCTCCGGATCTCTACACTCACCACACGAAACACAGCAGTATTAAGCTGCTATTTTACGCTGGTATCCTTCTCCGGGCGAGCCGACCCATTCGTGACTCTATCACTTAAAAGTGTAAGTCGGTTGTACAACATTTTTAATTTTACCACTTGTTATTGTCAGGTGACGTAGACGGTTCCGTAGAAGCGATCCTCGACATCCTGGAGACGTACGACGAACACGATAGAGTGCGACTGGATCTGGTGCATTACGGCGTAGGACACGTGACACCCAACGATCTAGAGGTATGCTTCACACACGTTCACGAGCTTATTGTGCAAATGATATTAATGGTGGATAGAATATTTGAAGGAGTATGATGCATGAAAAATAAACTTTCTGCACTAGTAACCAGCGTTGCAGACTAGGATATATTTAGTAGCGGTGTTAGAATATCCACTACCCCATATCATCCCGCGAGTGTCGTAAGATAGACGGAAACAAGTTAGGAGATTGACAGAAGCATTTTCCTAATAACAAATAAAAATAAAAAAGCGGTTGCCAACCCGCTTGACAAGCTTGGCAACTATGGCGAATTCCCTTCTATGAGGTAATCTATGGGGGAGGCCTATGTTCAGCAGTGGACTTTAATATGCCGTAACGGTAATGGTCTATGTAATAGCCATGGTAGCTCAGATGGTTAGCGCTCGGTCTAAATTTCACAGTACGCTAGCAACCCGGGTTCGATTCCCGCCGGCACTTAATTTATGTGCTGATATACTACAGGATTGGCGGTGAAGGAAAACATTGTGAAGAAAACTGCATGTCTGAGAAATAAAAAAAATATTTCGAAGACGTGTGAAGTCCGCTAACACGCATTGGGGCAGCGCGGCGGACACTTCCTTACCTTGAAACTCTCTCAGAAGTGAGAGGAGGCGTGTGCCCAGCAGTGGGACGTATATAGGCTTTACTTTAACTTTCAGATGTTTTGAATTCAAAATAACTGACATTAAAATACTTTTAAAGTGAAAACTTCTTTAGAATCGTGATTTTTGAACTTGAAAAAACGAAAAAGCGACACTAAAAAGATAGAATTTAACCAGTGAGAGAATGAGATAAAATACAGTATACAGTGTTTGCATTTCGCGTGTGAACTGCACACGTGTTTTTCTTATAGAATAAGGGTGATAAACGAGCGCACAGTCCACTTGATGGTAAGTGGTTGCTGTGGCCCATAGATATCTACATTTATCCTTGATAAAGAATCAAAACGCAGATGCTTTGTCACCCCTGAGGACTAAGATGGAATAAGATAGAATGCCTTGTTTCCAGTAAAAAGGGCCTTCGCTTGTTTACATTCACTATACGAAACAACAGCATAAAGTTACTATTTTACATTGGTATTCTATGAAACTGTGATCCTATCCTGGTACTAACTAAACCATTTATTAAAAAAAAATCTTGTAAACACTATAGATAGTCAGTGAAATTCACGCAACTGATTGGTCAACAAATTGGTCAGAGAATATAAACCTACGATTATTTTAATTTTTAATTCCGTTATCAGAAGTAATTTATTTTATCTATAAACTTCATCATCATCATTATTACAGACCTTCACAAGTCCACTGCTGAACATAGGCCTCCCTCAAGGAATGCCACAAAGCACGGTCCTGAGCTACCTGTATCCATCGACTTTCTGCATGTCTTACCAGGTCATCACTCCATCTAGTGGAGGGACGCCCTACACTTCGCCTGCCGGTACGAGCCTGCCACTCGAGAACCTTTTTTCACCATCGGTTGTCGGTTCTTCGAGTTATGTAGCCGGCCCCTTGCCGCTTTAGTTTACTAATCCGTTGGACTATGTCGGTCACTCTATATCAGAGTATATATACTCTGGTTCTACTGCGAATATCCTTATTCCTAAGTTTATCACCCAAAGAAACTCCGCTGTTTCGAATCTTCTCCCTCCACCCCTTATAATTCCAAAATTACGCGTAGATTCATAGACTGATTCAATGAAAAACCTAAACCACTTCTAGGTGACTTGGGATCAGAGTACATTTTTAGACTTTTAGAATATTTGGTGTTGCCAAAATTATTGGTACGGTGAGTTACCTAAATTTAATGTGTAAAGGGAGTCTAGTTGGGTAAGGTACAAACAACTTTTGGTATTGGCAACCGCTTAGGCTTAAACTCTCCTTACCTTAAAACCCTCTCAGAAGCGCCTTCTTAAACCATTTGTCGCAAATTTGGTCCTTATTTCACATTCATCTCCCTGTTGGGAGAAAGTCTTGCGACGTGCGCTCTTGCCTTGAGATCATTAATATTTAGTGTAGAGACAAAATTATTTTCTCTATATATGAAAACCCTAACTGTCAGGTGACACATATTATTACGTGGTATAACGACGCTGCAGCGATATTAGGCAACGTAACGCTGTTGTGTTTCGTATGGTGAGTGTGGAGAGTCGGAGACCCTTTTATTGGAAATGAGGCGTTTTATCTTGGTGCGTCTTGTCACCGCATCTGCATTTTGATTCTTAACCGAGGATAGATGTATATGTCTATAGATCACGGCATCCACTTACCATCTCCGGTGGATTGTGTGATCATTTGGCATCGTTCACAAAAGCCTACAAAAATTCACTGCTGAACCTAATCCACCCCCTAAATTATCTCATAATATAAGCCACATATCTGCCACATTTGCCACGCTTGGTTTATAACCGCAGTTTTTTTATTTTTTAGTTGTTCTTAGGAAGACACTGCTGCACATCTGGTTTGTTTTGTTGCGTCGCTTCTTACGATACTCACGGGACAATATGGGGTAGTGGATATTCTGCTGATATTCTACAATTCACTACATGGTCACAGTCATTCTATATAAAAAGTGATTATCAGTTCTATAGCATAATCAATAAGGTTCTTTTTCCCTCAGATCGCACAAGCATTCAACGCTGTTATATACGCATTCAACGTGGAATGCCCGCCGGCGTTGTCTGTAGAAGCGAAAAAGAACAACATACCTATTAAAAATCACAATGTCATCTACCGACTAGTGGACGACGTGAAGGAAGAAATCAGCGCCAGAATACCAAAGCGGCAAGAAGAGGAACTAATCGGTAGTAAACACATTATCCTCAACAAAATCTAAGAAATCCTTTACAGACTGCTGTCGGACTTTATTAAACTAGGCCTAACAAAATATCGGTACATACAATATTCGATTCTTTAGAAAATTCAGTATTCGATTCTTTAGAGTTGGTAATCATTTACTGTTTTGTTTCGATTAATATCAGAATATATAAAAAGCGGATAATTTAAAACACAAAATTTATCCGTTTCTTCGTATGTATCGTTACTGCTGATTTCTATGAAAGTATGGGCTCCATACTCTCATCATATATTGTACTCGCCGGCATCTACTAATCTTTCTTGCAACTTCGCCGCAGGAGGACATTCGCCTCTAGTAAAATAGCCGTTCTAACAGCATCGGCGCAAATTGATCAATGGCTGTTACTGATTTGTTCTTTTATCGTTTTTTCGGCGTGTGAAGTAAATCAATTTCAATCCCGTACTTTCAGCGACGATCTTCGCAACGGTGCGTTTGCCAATTTCGAGTGTGTCACTGGTAAAAGGTGCTCTTCGTTTTTTGACACACGCTCGAAATATTCATGTAATATCACCAAAAATGCACGAGCCTGACTGTTTGAAGTGCGACTATTACATCTACGTTATCTTTTCGACATTATGATCACTTGCTTAAAAAGAGCCCATTATATAACTTGCCAAAGTCTTCTGTATCAAATAGCAGAACGGCAAAACAACAACATACATTGCAACGAAGATGTTGATCTATGTAAAAAAAAAGACTTGCGAAGGTCGACGAATATGGAAGAATCAGTCCAAAAAGTTATAGCCAATTCATAAAATCACTAAAGTACGCACAGTAAGCTCATAAAATGGCGGAAAATTACAGTTATGCAGTGGTTCTTTCGGCGTGACATTGGACGTGAGTTTTTGCCTACACAAATTTAATTAAATAAATTGAACTTGTTTTATTCACGACTCATATAATTTAAGCAACTTTAAAAATAAAAAATTAAATATACAAATAATAAATTTAAATGTTGAATATTTTTGCCGATTATTCGCATAATAATTAATTTTAATCATCCTAACGGTGAGTTACATAGCGACATATTATTGAAACAACGTCAGGCATAAAAGTTGACTCTGATATTTTTTTTATATTTTAGTTTTTGAAGGATTTGTACTTCAATTGGTATCAAAGAACTATACGTGTTACTGTAAATAGACGCTTGTACAAAGTTATTGCGGAATGATTAAAGTGAAACGTCAAAAGGTATTTTTAGATTTGGTTGAGTGTAAGTAATTATTCTTTCTGATTGCTGATTATAAGCATAGACTGTCGACACTATAATACTTCTGTCCTGTGAAAAGTTGCAAAAGTCAATGTTTAAACGACACCTATTCACCAAGACTTCTCTTTTTCGACCATGGCATCATAATTTTTAACATTATGAGAACTATATTAGGCATATTAAATTTCAGGCGAGGCTAATGTTCTGCAGCAGTTCCAAGTGTCTGAGGGACGAAAGAAAGTGCCAGTAGCGGGCTGTCGCTGTGTACGCGGCTCTCTGTCGCGAGCTGCTCTGTACAGAGTGCTTCGTGGCGCAGACGTCGTATTCGAAGGTATGTCGCGGCTCTGTCGTTAACTGCTCTGTGCCAAGTGCTTCGTGAAACAGACGTCGTGTTACAAGGTACGTCGGGGCTTTTTTGTAAACTGCTCTGTGCCAAGTGCTTCGTAAAACAGACGTCGTGTTCCAAGGTATGTAGCGGCTCTGTCGTAAACTTCTCTGTGCCAAGTGCTTCGAGAAAGCGACGTCGTGTTCAGTACGTTACGTTCGTCAACATTATTAATTCTTCTGTCCATGTGTATGTGACTGAACTCCTCCTAAATGTTTGAACCGATTTTGGTGAAATTTTTCATTTAAGTATTTGATTGGGTATCTGACAAAAGGAACGCGGTTTTCTTTATTAACCCAAAATAGTCTGTTAGGCCTCTCCCCCGTTGTAAGGAAAATTTCTATTATATTTTATATTATATTTATTATATTAGATTATGTTATATATTACCTCATTTAGTCTCTTCTAGAAACCTTTACCTATTGCTGACCGCCGTCGGTCTGGTATTTAACCACGTTTTAGTTAAGTCACTTTCGTGTTTACCTGTCTGTGGCGTTCCGGGTGGAATCTTGCCACTCAAATTTCGAGCACTTTCCGATGAGCTATAGACTTGAAATTGAACATAGCTCAGTATTGGATGGCAATGTAGGAACATGTTGTCCGATTCTGAGCTAAAAAACGTGGTATATTGAATGTTTTTTTAGTACAAAGTTTTAAAAAAGTCACTTCTTACATTTTATCGAGGTGGTTATACCGCATCTATCGGATAAATACAGGATGATATGGAGGCAATGGATTCTTTTGAACAGCCACTACATAGACATGGTTAACTCAATTCCTTACGTTAACTCAATAACTCAGACACAGTTTACTGTGCCAACTAACTTGCGTTAACTCAAAATTTCGCCATGGCGCAACAAATTTTAAACACATGTGTCTCGGCTATCTGTCGAAATATAACCGTGTGGGCAATAATTTAAATAAAATATAAGATTTCCTACATATTAGGTACTGTGTCAACTTATAAAATCACATACATACATAAACACTCTCGCCTGTCACCCAGAGGGGTAGGCAGAGACTACAGACATCCTGACACATCTCTCTCGCCTCCTCCACATCCATATACCTACGCAAACACGCTCGTCGGTTAAGGGTACTCCTCGTTTGGCCCATTTTCAATATATTGCCAATTTGGTCGATAAACTTTCGCCTAGGACGTCCCTTTCCAACTCTGCCGTTCACTTCTACAACATAAATTTGCTTTGTCATTCTTTCCTTATTCATTATTTCCACGTAACCAAACCACCGAGGCATTCCTTTCTATTCTTTATAATAAAATAAACTTATGAGGTCCATTTATTAATATGTCAATTAAGTATAAAATAACATATTAACACCTTTCGAATTTCCCAGTGCACCAACACATTTTGAAGAAGTGAGTTAACACATCGGTCCAGTAAACTGAGTTAGCGCAATAGCGCGGCGCAGCGCACTGTTACTCATAGTAAAGTAAAGTTACAGCCTATATACGTCCCACTACTGGGCACAGGCCTCCCACTCATTTCTGAGAGGGTTTTAGGACAAGGAATTGTCCGCCGCGCTGCCCCAGTGCGTGTTGGCGAACTTCACATGTCTTCGAAATATTTTTTTTCTTCAGACATGCAGGTTTCCTCACGATGTTTTCCTTCACCGCCGAGCACGTGGTAAATCAGCACTTAAAATTGCAATTAACAATTTCATTGGTGCCGGCGGGGATTGAACCCGGTTTGCTCGCGTACTGTGAAATTTACAGCGAGCGCTAACCATCTGAGCTACCACGGCTCTCACTTGGTGTTACTCATGTCTACCACTATATGACTATGCCCCAATTAGCCGGCTCTGCTTTACAGTCCGTCTGGTTTTGTCGTCAACAAGTAAGACCCAAAAAGTGACGTAGTGCTCTTAATATTTATAGGCAAGCTGGCTTCCATGAAGCATCTGAAAGAGGAAGTGAACACAATCAAACGTGACACGGAATGCGGACTTCGCTTCGACGATCCCGCGTTCGAAGTGCAACCCGGTGATACCGTCATCTGTTATAAAATGGTGGACGCGAACGACCAGACTGGATGGGATCCCGGATTTTGAATAAGTGCAATTAGGATTAATAAATTATAGTTTAAAACTTTAAACAGTGGTTTTATTAAATAGTTTAGTTTCTACTTAGTGTTTTATGAGTGTTTTATGTTAGAACTCAAGGTATGTTTATATGGCGCATAAAAAAAAAGAATGTACCAATTATTACTTGCCTTTTAAAGCGATTAATGGGATATTGTTTGTGGTTGTGTAGGCGAATGGGCTAGCCGTCTATCACTTTCACAATTCCATATAAACACATTTTTTATGTAATGGACAATCTGTGCAAATGTTTTCACATTTCTCCAAACCACACATAATTGAACCCACTAGGTTTTTCAAGACTGCATAACGATTTCATTATCGCGAGTATTATCCTAAATAAGATTTTTTACTCATTTATTAAAATTGTAGTCTGGTGGTAGAGCTGATTTTCTACCAGTCTGTCTGACACCCTCTCCTCTTACCTACGTCTGCTATTAATTACTGATAATCACAGCACATACTGAATGATGTGTTTCAGTTTCAATAATTGTAAGACAAATACTGCCTTTCGTTTTAGCTCAGGGGTGACCTTCATTTCTTATTTCAAGGTCATTTCATAGCAGTTCTTTTCGAGTTAAACTGTTTTATGTGTTATTTGACTATTTTTGATTTTTTTTAAATAATCTGCCTGTTTTTGTAATTATTTTCCAAATGTGTTTACATGTGGAGCACGCTCTTACAAAATAGCACCAGTTTCGTATGGTGAGTATAGAGTACCGGTGACCCCTTTTACTGGATACGAGGCATTCCATCTTAGTTCTGGGCTGACAACGCATGTGCATTTTAATTCTTCATCGAAGATAGATGTAGATGTCTATAGGTAACAGCATCTACTTACCATCAGTTGGACTGTGTGCTCTTTCGTAACCCTGATTTTATAAAAAATGTCACCACATATAACATATACTTATACACAACCAAATAAAACTACAACATTATAAAGAGAATCTTCTATTAAATATTAACTTGATAGGCTCATAATTTGTGTCTCACTAGATTTGAATAAAGAACTCCGTCTCAATACATTAACGCCGCACACAATCAGCGACATCTAGTAACTTTTTAATTTAAAAATAAATTGGGTAAATAAATTTTGTAGGCGTAAAATATTATTCATTACAATAATTTAATCTTGGTATTTTACAGAATGTACAAATCGAACAGTACAACTTCAACATTTTTTGATTGTATTGAATCACGGACAGCAACTTTTTTTAAATTCTAATCCTAAAATTTAAATAAAACTGAATATACATATCAGAAAAAATACGATATATCAAGATTTTATAGATAAGCTGCCAAAAGCTTTTTAATAAGGATAATTATCAAATATAAGAAGGTTCAACTTAGTACACATCATAATGACTTCATAGTACATTGCGTCACATATTTTATGAGCCGTGGAACTACAGAGACTATTTAGATATCAACGAATAAGCGCGCTTTCTCTTGTCTACCAAATGAAAAAATATTTCACATTTTGATATTTTTTTATATACTTGAAACCTAACACACAAAGTTACTGTACATAATTCAACATTCAACAAAACAATTACTACAGCATTAATTTACCGTGATCTTAGCATGAGATACATCTTGATATTGGCAGAAGTGAAGTTTTTGATACTTGATTTCAAGAAAAGAGCCTACTTTTTTTTAAAAGGCCGGCAACGCATCTACGAATCCCCTGGTGCTGTTATGTTCAGACGGCGGTAGTCACTTACCATCAAGTGAGCCGCATGCTGGTTTGTCCCCTCTTAAATAAAAAAAAAAATCTTTCCCGGAGTAAAATGTTGTATGCACCAAAATAATTTCAATCGAATATATCGTAAATTATAGCAAATTTTAAATAATCCTTAGTTACAGCACAATATCAATAACTTTATAAAATTTAGAACGATATTTTGGCAACAATAATTTTTAGATATCCTGGATTTCAGTTTTGAATTTGATTTGATGTAGTAAAATTTAATTTTACTTTCTGTGACTTGTTTTTTTTTTTTGTGGGCGAGCCTTAAGTGTCTGCCTACTACCTTATTTGTAATGTTTGGGTATCGCTTGGGATTCGAGGACAGGACGCGCGTCGAAGTAACCAGGTATTCTCACCGCCCAACCACGCGGAATACACTATATATAAGTTCGGTTAACCAATGGCGTATAACATAAAATATTGGCTTCCGCAAGATTAAGTTACAATCATGCTCGTTTGGTCTCTTCTATATAGAAGGTTTAAGTCATACGTAACACAGAAGTCAGCTGCACTCTTCATTAAGGCACAGTTTTTAACTTAACAATTTAATAACGAAATAGTTTGTTAAATATCAATAGATTCACGTGTCTTTATTTGCAAATAAAAACAAAAACAATAAAAAGATTGTAAATAAAAAAATTGTTGGCACCGAAGTGTTGACAGTACTTAAAAATATTAACTCCATACAACAAATCTTTAAAACTGTATGTATCAAAACCTCATGCTAAAATATTTTATTTTATATTGTAAATATTCGTAATTTTTTAAACTTTTATTAAAATGTTATCTTATAATATACATACCAAAGTTATGTAAAAATGCAATAATAACCGATATTATTAAATAAAAACTACAATCCTTCCCATGCTATGATCACAATAAAACTTTAGCAGTTCACGTACATATATTAATATGTAATTAATAATTTAATTCAACCAAAATCATTGTGTATTATTACATTAATAATAGAATTTATTACAGTTCAAGGTTCAAGCTTTGTTTGAGTACACCATAACGAATAGTTGTAAAGAATATTAAAAATTCTCTACGCAGTAGGAAAATGTATAAACAATTTTATAATGTGTGAAATGTAATTACAATGAAATAAATCTACTCTTAACTGTTAAACGCGATTCTGACTTCCAATTATTAACAAAGAATAAATCAAAAGTAACACTTGCAATATACAAGAATATACAATTTCTATAAAGGGATGTAATTATGTGCTACTTATTATATGTATGATTTTAAAATGTTTTTTAAATCTCTATATATTCCTTCCAATACAGCCTTTCACAGGCTGCTAAATGTGGGCTCCCCCAACAAGTGTCACAAAACTCTTCTTTTAATTTTTTTTTAGCATTAATCAAACACAATTAAACAAAATAAATTGCGTCCATAATAAATATTTATATTCAGTGTTGTCTGCTTTAATACGTAATGTACTTTTTAATACCAATTTTTACAATAATTAGAATTTTGCATATTTTGACTATGTCATTTTAAAACTGGTCTAAATAGTAAATAAAAGTGTATATAATCATTAAATAGTAGAAATCCAAATCGCGTTCAACACTGAACTACCTCATAGAAATAATTGTAGACATACAATCGACAATCCATCAACAATTCTCATATTTGAAACCGACAAACCACGCGAGTCTCACAGACGCGTCGTTTCAATTCAACAACATTTAAATCGTTAAAACAAGTGAAATAAATAGTGACATGAATAAATTGAGAAAGCACAAGTGCGTTCATGGTAAGCGGCTGCCTCGCTCGACTCGAATACATATCAAAAGTAATAGCTAATTATTTTAAATTCTGAAACAATAACAGATTGATATAGATTAGGGTTTGCGAGTTTGCCGCTATCGCATACCCCGTGTTTCTGTGCAAGCGATCTTTGACCGCTTGATAACCTATGTACTATATTTACAAAGTGAGTCGAAAGTAATGTCTCCTTACAGTTACAATATACAAACTCGTCTGTACAGTCGAATCTCGTTACTATTGCTATTATAAAACTACCTCTGTTTAGTTTTGACAGATGCAAAGCGGATTTTCTATAACGTAATCGTCTTAGGGAACTTGTAATGAACTCGTAAGATATAATAAAGTACATATTTCAAATGCTATAATTACTAAATACGTTGCGACACGAGTCGCGAGCACGGCGTTATATGTTTGTATATCTGTTTGGTGCAGAACAAGGGCGCAGGAAGGGTACGGTGAACAATCATTCACGTCTATTAGTTGATCCTCGTCATTCATTGGATATTCACGTGTCATTCGCCTGGTCTATTAGCTGGAAAATGTACATGCGCAAATACCGTCACTTGGTGCTCACAACTCACGCCGCTATTTGTATAAATCTAGTATTTACATCATGTAATAATCCACTATAAAAAGTCAATTTCATTATTAGAGTGAACGATAGCTTCACACAAGCGCCAACGCGACCCCACGAAAATAAGGCGGTGCCCGCGTCGACAGTACTAAATATCGCGTTATTATCAGTTTGCCACTGTAGATGAACCCGTGTTGTGTGCGTGCGTGACGAAACGAAGTTACAGCATTCTCGTTCACTATATTATTCAGATGGTCTCAGAGAATTTGTAGCTACATAGACTGCAGAGCCTTAAGATAAAAATGTACAACCAGTGCGTGTTGCCAGTACTGACTTATGGGAAGGAAACATAGTCGTCCACTGTACTAGGTGTAGAACGGAGCTCAAAGTTACTCAAAGAGCATGAAGAGAACTATGCTCGGAAATACTTTGAGTGATAAAATTCACAGAAGAGTAACTGACAACCCAGCAAATCAGCATACAGCTCGAAGGCCGATGACCGGTGAAAATGAAAAGTTCTTGAGTGGCAAAGTCGTACTAGCAACCGCAGTGTTTGGCGACCTTTACTAGGCGTGACGACCTGATAAAACATGAAGATAGTAAAAGGATGCAAGTGGTTCAGGACCGTACTTTTCAGCAGTGGACTCGATTAGCAGTGGTGAAAGTGTGTGTAATAGTGGACTAATGGCTGATGATGATGAAAAAAATAGTGAAGACTGTCATGTATATATGTAAGACACGGCAGTTAAATATCATCAAAATCAAATATCATTTATAAATTCAATACCAAAGTAATAACAAATTTTATCTTAAATCAATAATTAAAGAACACTAAACAGTTCTATAGCTACTCGTATTATTTAAGGA